TGCGAACATCCGCCCCCAATCAACTTTTGAAACCAAAATGCTTTCTTCACTATCCTGTCTACCTGTAATTCCACTTGCAAGGAACTATGAATCTGCACTCCAAGATCTCTTTTTCAGCAACGCTCCCCAGGTCCTTACTGTTCAGCGGTGACCAGTAGGGATCTTGTTCTGGGACCTGTGCTCTTTGTGATCTTTATAAATGACTTGGATGAGGAAGTGGAAGGGTAGGTCAGGTCAGTAAGTTTGCCGATGACACGAAGGTTGGTGGAGCTGTGGACAGCATGGAGGGCTTGTTGTAGGTTGCAACAGGACATTGACAGGATGCAGAACTGGGCAAAGAAGTGGCAGATGGAATTCAACCCAGAAAAGTGTGAAGTGATTCATTTTGGAAGGTCGAATTTGAATGCAGAATACAGGGTTAATGGCAGGATTCTTGGCAGTGTGGAGGAACAGAGGGATCTTGGGGTCCACGTCCATAGATCCCTCAAGGTTGCTACCCAAGTTGATAGGGTTGTAAAGAAGGCATATGGTGTGTTGGCTTTCACTGGCAGGGGAAGAAACTTTGAGCCGTGAGGTTATGCTGCAGCTCTATAAAACCCCGGTTAGACCACACTTGGAATATTGTGTTCAGTTCTGGTCACCTCATTACAGGAAGGATGTGGAAGCTTTCGAGATAGTGCAGAGGAGAGTTACCAGAATGCTGCCTGGACTGGAGGGCAGGTCTTATGAGGAAAGGTTGAGGGAGTTAGGGCTTTTCTCATTGGAACGAAGGAGGATGAGAGGTGACTTGATAAAGGTGTACAAGATGATGAGAAGCATAGATAGAGTGGATAGTCAGAGACTTTTTCCCAGGGCAGAAATGGTTATTACGAGGGGGCATAATTTTAAGGTGATTGGAGGAAGGTATAGGGGAGATGTCAGAGGTAGGTTCTTCACACAGAGAGTGGTGGGCATGTGGAATGCGTTGCCGGCAGTGGTAGTGGAGTCAGATACTTCAGACTTTTAAGCGACTCTTGGATAGGCACATGGAGGATAGTAAAATGTAGGGTATGCAGGGTAGATTGATCTTCATAGGATAATAAGTCGGCACAACATTGTGGGCTGAAGGGCCTGTATTGTGCTGTACTGTTCTATGTTCTATGTTCTAAGTATATAAGTGCTGCCCTGATTTGCCTTTCCAAAATGCAGCACCTCACATTTATCTAAATTAAACTCCATCTGCCTCTCCTCGGTCCATTGGCCCATCTGATCAAGATCCCGTTGTACTCCGAGGTAACCTTCTTCACTGTCCACTACACCTCCTATCTTGGTGTCATCTGCAAATGTACTAACCATACCTCCTAAGTACACATCCACATCATTTATATAAATGACAAAAAGCAGCTGACAAAGCACCGATCCTTGTGGCACTCCACTGGTCACAGGCCTCCAGTCTGAAAATCAACCCTCCACCACCACCCTCTATCTCCTACTTTCGAGCCAGTATCCAAATAGCTAGTTTTTCCTGTGTTCCAATGTGATCTAATCTTGCAGACCAGTCTATGATATGGAATCTTGTCAAACACCTTGCTGAAGTCCATACAGATCATGTCCACCACTTTGCCCTCATCAATCATCTTCGTCACTTGTAGCAAACTGAAAACAGGATCTTTTCCACAAACATTACAACCGCAAACGTTTTATGAAGTGGACTGTCAAGAGGCTTGTGTGAGCCCTGTGTGTATCTAAGGGGCAGAATTGTCTTTGCTGCCAAGTTTTCTGTCGGGTTAGTGAGCAATTCTAATAGGCTTTGATCAGTTTTTGAACTCTGAATTAGAATTCTCCCTCATACCTCTGTTTCTTTGACACAGTGAACAAAATCAGCTTCAGACAGTCAGAAGGGGCTGCTGTTTTCAGAGCCTGTGATCTGCAATCTAAGAAATGTATCATTTTCTTCAACATGTCAATGGTGCTGACAGAACGGTAATAATAACAGCAAGTACTCACGACCTAATCAACACTTGGAGATTTCAAAACAACTGAAGTAATGAGAATTATCTCTCCGTGTCATACATACTGCACAACACAACCCACACAACCTTCTCATTAGCCCTCCGCTGAATTTTTCCACAATACTGTGGCTTGAAAGGTCACCGTGGTCATTATGGGTGATGCAGGCTATTCAACTCTTCATGCCTGTTCTGCAGTTCAGCCTTCCAGACACTGACTGAATCCATACTGCCCACTGCCTCGGGAAAGCAACCAATATAATCAAAGAGCTCTGAGGAAGGGTCACCGGACTCGAAACATTAACTCTGTTTTTTCCTTCACAGATGCTGCCAGGCCCACCTAGCTTTTCCAGCAACTTCTGTTTTTGTTCCTGATTTACAGCATCTGCAGTTTTTTCGGTTTTTATAATCAAAGAGCTCTCCCACCCCGGTTATACTCTCTTCCACCCTCTTCTGTCAGGGAGAAGATACAAAAGTTTGAATACATGCGTGAATAGATTCAAGAACAGTTTCTTCCCCTCTGTTATCAGATTTTTGAATGGACCTCCAAATGTAATTCTGATCCCTCGCTCTGTACCTTCTCTGTGGCAATAACACTGTTTTCTGCACTCTGTTCTGCTATTCTGATGCACTTTGTATGGTACGATCTGCCTGTATAGCACGGAAAACAACACTTTTCACAGTATCTCCATACATATGACAACAATAAATCAAACTCAATTAGATCATGGTTGTTATCTATTTTAAATGTCAGAAGTGTTAGTGCGCAGAAGTAGGCCATTTAAGACTGTCATGTTCGCTCTCAATCTACCTGCCTTGGTTCTGCATCCATCGACACCCCTGTAGAATTTTTGAAATTTTCAATCGGCCCCTCCACAACCCCCCAGCCTCAATGATATGTTTTGGGGTCGAGCTCCAGATTTCCAATAACCTTTTGTCTGAAGGAGTTCTCTGAGTTTATCTCTAACTCTCATTTTAAAAATGGTTCTAGTTTACCTGCTCCCCTCCCCCACTGGAGACAACAGTTTCTTACTATGGATTATTGCTAATTCTTTTAATCATCTTAAACACCTCAATTAGGTCCCCTTTTAAATCTTCCGTGTGTCAAGATGGAACTGCAACAATTCAAGAAAGCAGATCACCGCCACCTTCTTAAGGTCAATTAGAGATGGGCAAAAAATGCTGGGCTAGCTCGTGATGACCACATCCCATGAATGAATAAAAATAAAGTGATTTACACACTCGTCAGATCAACAGTCCATAGTATTAAGGTGCAGCAGGCAAGAGAGTGGAGTTGAGGCCTCTGGAACGACAGAGCAGGGCTGAATGGCCTACACCCGCTCCTACTTCTTACAATCTTTCATGAAGGATGCGTACAGAAACAGAAGGTCCATGCTGATGTTTATGCTCCACAAGAGCTGCTCCCAAACTGTAATTTTTGTCAGACCACCAGCATGACTTTTTATTCCATTCTTCCTCATGTGTTTATCCTGATTCCCCTTATATACATCCAAATGATTTACCTCATACCACTCCTTGTGCCAGCCATCTCACTCTCGAGCTAAACACACTCCTCCTGCACCTATGAGTGACAGGACCAAGATCCTGGAACTCCCTCAGCATCATAGGTGTTCCTACGTTGGATGGACTGCGGCTGTTCCAGAAGGCAACTCAGCACCAACTTTGAGGGCAGTTTGTGATAGCCCCCAGTTATAGGTGGAAAATGCCTTCATCGTGCCTATCCCATCTAACCTTTTCATAATTTTAAATGCCTTTTTCAGGGTCAGCCTTCTCTCTTGTGGAGAAATGAGTTTTAAGCTTGTTCAATCTTTCTGATATTGTTACAATTATCTCACATACTCCTGGAAGGAAATAAAGACAGCAACTGGCTCCAAGATCATACAGTCGATGAGCAACAGGTCACAGCTAGAGTCAGCTCAGTTGGCTGGATGGCTGGTTTGCAACATAGAGTGTTGCTAACAGTGTGGGTTCAATTCCCGCACCAGCTGAAGTTACCAGGAAGGACTCTCCTTCTCAACCTGTCACCTTGCCTGAGGCATGGTGACCCTCAGGTTAAACCAACACCAGTCGTCTCCCTCGAATAAGAGAGCAGTCCTATGGTCCTCTGGGACTGTGGCGATGTTAGCTTTACTGCATTCACTGACTGTACACGGCATCTCAGATAGTGATCCTTCAATTCCACCGAGAAGACACAATAAGCAAGTTGTACTGGAAGACAGAGCCAGGCAAACACAGGAACATTTTCCCAATAACTCAATCGTGCACAAAGACAGCAACTGACATGGAGCACGTGGCATGGAGCAAGATTGCACATTCGGAGCCATATCAACCATGGCTCAGATGGCAGCTCTCCTGCCCACACCAAGGTTCAAGACCCACATGAAGACAAGAACTAAGGCTGGCCCTTCCATGCTGTTGGAGGTGGTATCTTTCAGGTGAGGCATTAAACCCTACTGTCCCATCTGCCTGCTCAGGTGGAAGTAAAGGGTTTCATTTTGAGGAAAAGCTAGGAGTTCTCCCACATTCCACAAAAGAATCAAATTAGCCTCAAAATGTTAATTCTGCACCTCTCTCCACCGATGCTGCTAGACCTGCTAAGTTTCTCCAGCAATTTTGGTTTTTATTTCAGCTTTCCAATATCTACAGGCTTCTCGAATCTGGTACCTTCCGACTGCGAGGCAGGAATGCTATCACACTGAGGTAGGGCCGACTGAAACACTACTTCACCGAAGCAGAAATTAGCTTGTCAAAGATGGAATCGGCTCATGCCCCCAGTCTCTCTATTTGATTTGACATTACCAAAGATGGATTGGATTGTGGCGCTGACCCACCATATTAAATTTATAACTCTACGTTCAACAGGTCAATAAAACAATTATCTTTCCACTAACTCTGCAGCTGGCTGAAGATTTACTGGCCTGAGAATAGGCGACATTTTCATTTTATTGCTCTGTTCTCTCCCAGCTAATGGGGACCGGAAACGCCTCTCACCTTGTGACGACAAACCACGCGAGCTCTCCAAAGTCCGGGGATGCCCTCATGTACGTTTTGATGTGGGGCATGGCACGGCTTCGGCCTGTGACGTCAGCGGACCATCGACTGTGGGGGAGATGCACAGCAATAAGATCAGTCGACTCACTGTCCACCCTCCCAGCCACCCAAATGTAAATGCACTCCCGCTGCAGGCAGGAGACACAGACTCTGGACCACCACAGAAGCTTGACAACAAAGCTCGAGAGGAATTAGAGAAACCTACAGCAAAGCAGCAGACCATACAGCCCATCAGAACTTGTCATGAGACCATCACGAAAACCAACCTCCCATTCATGGACTCCATCTACACTTCTCGTTGCTGTGGAAAGGCTGCTAATATCATCAAAGACCCTCTCCCACCCCGGTAATGCTCAATGCTCTCTTCCAACCTCTTCTGTCAGGCAGAAGATGCAAAAGCTTGAACACACATACTAACAGACTGCTGAATGGACCTCCTAAATTTCAAATCAAATGTCAATCTTGCTTTTGTGCACCTCCTGTACAGCTGTAACTTTGTATGCCTCGCTATGTCTAAGCGCCCTATGATACGTAAGGCCTTGTTTGCTGTGATCTTCCTGTCCTGCTCGCAAAACAAAATTTTTCACCGTACTTAGGTACGTGTATCAAGAATAAATTAAATCAAATCAGACCAATAAAACTGAAGCAATTGGGAGGCAATGAGAAGCATTCTGTAAAACAGTCTTCATCACCTCCTCTGCCCCCACACCCTTCCCAAAGTGCAGCGATTACTCTCTCGTGCTTCTGTTAATCAATATCGTCCACTTGATCGTCCTTCCAACAAACAGCCATAGAAGATGCTGCCCAATGAAAGGCGGTATTGGGAAAGAATGCAACTTGACATCATTATTTTATGGATGTCCACCTGCAAGAAAAGGCTGTGGCTCCTGGCAAAGGACACCTGTGATTTGTGCCCCAGACAGTGAACTTATTATTGCTGACATCATCCTCAATCAAACAGTGAGTCAGAGCAGCTGGTCAAAGATGGAATCGGCTCATGTCCCCAGTCTCTCTGTTTGATTTGACATTACCAAAGATGGATTGGATTGTGGCACTGACCCACCATATTACATTTATAACTCTACGTCTGACAGGTCAACAAAACAATTATCTTTCCATTAACTCTGCAGCTGGCTAAAGATTTACAGGCCTGAGAACAGGCGACTTTTTCATTTTATTGCTCTGTTCTCTACCAGCTAATTATCCTATTCCTGGGGCTGCTTGTTTCCCATGTCTGTGACTGACTGAGCCATGTAATGGAAGATGATTGGCTTACGCCAGGGCCTGGGACAGCGGAGGGTACTTCAGGGCTTTAATAACCGGGTCTCACTGTGCATGGGTCAGGGTTGGGCGGGGTGCCCGTATTAGGGGCCGGGGACCACTGTGCCACAGTCAGAGCTGGGCATGCCTATGGTTTTTGCTGACCTGCCCACTCCTACCGATTGCAATGAGAAATTGGGTGTGACAGGCTAAGGACTGTAGTGCAGGAGGTCACCACAGTTGTAGGGCTACAATCTAGGATGGAACAGGAGGAAAATGGGCAGCACTGTATATACCCTGCCAAGACAGGGGTGCCTGAATTATAAACTTGCATTTATAAATGTGCCATGGTGCAGCTGGTAGCACACACTCACCCACGAGTCAGCAGGATGTGGGTTCAAATCCCATTCCAAGACAAATATCAAAGCTGACCTGAAGCAGCACAGAAGGAGCACTGTACAGTCAGAGGTTGTTTATTTTGGAGGAAACTTTAATCCAAGGACCTTTCTGCTTGAGTGGATGTGAAAGATGATGTGCTTCAAAGAGGATTGACCACCAAGATCCTGATCAATGTTTATTCCCCAATCAAACACGCAAGAGGTTAAGTTCTTTTATTCTCTTTTGGGATGTGGGCGTTGCTGGCTGGACCTGCATTTATTGCCCATCCCTACGTGCCCTTCAGAAGATGGTAGGTCTTGCTCAATAAATAAAAAAAAACACTCCCAATCTCAGTATTGACATTTTCAACTAGCCCCCAGTCTCTCAATAGCTTTTTGAGTAAGATATTATTTCATTGGAGGTAACTCAGAGAAGGTTCACTCGGATGATCCCTGGTATGGAGGGACTGTCTTTTGAGCAAAGCCTAAACAGGTTTGGACTGTGCTCACTAGAGTTTAGATGAATGAAAGGTGATCTCGTTGGGTAATGATACAAGATACTCATACAAGATCCTTAAGGGGCTTGACAGGGTAAATGCTGAGAGCATGTTTCCCCTCTTGGGGGAGTCTAGGATCAGAGAGCATTGTCTCAGAATAAAAGGGTATCAATTTAAGGCTGAATTGTGGAGGAATTTCTTCTCTCAGAAGGTTAAGAGGTTTTGGAACTCCTTGCACAGACAGCTGTGGGGGCATATTTATTGTGCATATTTTAGACTGAAATAGATAGATTCTTGATCAGTCGGGGAATCAAGGGTCATGGGGAAGGGGCAGGAAAGTGAACGTGAGGAGTGTCAGATCAGTCATGATTCTATTGAATAGCAGAATAGGCTCAAGGGGCCGAACAGCCTACTCCTGTTCCTGCTTCTTATGGTTTAAGTGAGCTCCAGACTTTCACTGTCATGAATAAAAGTAAAATGCTGCTAATGCTGGGGACTAGAATTAAAAACAGAAGGCTCTGCAGAACCCTTGGCAATATTTGTGGAGATAGCAACAAGAATTAACGTTTCGATGACAAATTACCCTTATTCAGAAATCCTGAATAAAAAGCCAGTCCTAATAATAACCAAACTACAGATCTTGTGCTAGAGACCCAGATTTCTACTAGACTTGAAAGAAATTGCTTTCCGAATTGGCCCTGCTCTCATTTTAACATTAGGTCACTTTGTTTGGAATACCCACCAGGATGTATAATTTCTCTCCATTTACCCTCACAATTGTTTCAATTGCCAAAACGTGATAATTAGATCACCCTTTCATCTGTACCTAAGGGACTGCAAGCCTGTGGTTCAGCAGGTCTGAGGGGCTGAATGGTTTAATTGAGATAATTGGAGAAAGGGACAGGGCATCACCCAAGGTTTGCTCCTTTTGTCTATCCAGCACTTTTCTTTCACAAAGACCATAAGACATAGGAGCAGAAGCCCAGTGAGTTCACTTTCCCATTCAATGGGGTCATGATTGATCTATGTTCTGTGTCACTGTGTGCAACAGCTGAAGGAAACATTGACCTGGAATAATGATTTGGAGAAATGAGTTCAAATCTCAGCACCGCAGCTGGGGAATTGAAAATCTATGAATTAACCTAATAAAGGTGTAAAAAAAAAGTCAGAAGGCAATGGCTTTGCTGAAAAGCCTTTCTTTTCATTTCTGCACTTGTCAATTTGGGAGGAAGCTCTGCTGCCAAATTTCCAAGTATGATGTCAGCAGCAATGACAATTCAAAAGCCGGTCACAAAATGTTCTCTGCTGTACTTTTCCTCACCTGTTTTCGACAAGTCATTGAAGGTCTATATTCTGTGGTGTTTAGAAGAATAAGAGGCAATCTCATTGAAACATAGATTAGATAGGATTAGATAGGGTGGACAGTGGGAGCCTTTTTCCTCGGATGGTGATGGCTAGCACGAGGGGACATAGCTTTAAATTGAAGGGTGATATAGGACAGATGTCAGAGGTAGGTTCTTCACTCAGAGAGTAGTAAGGGCATGGAATGCCCTGCCTGCAAAAGTAGTAGACTCGCCAACTTTAAGGGCATTTAAATGGTCATTGGATAAACATATGGATGATAATGGAATAGTGTAGATTAGATGGGTTTCAGATTGGTTTCACAGGTCGGCGCAACATCAAGGGCCGAAGGGCCTGTACTGCGCTGTAATGTTCTATGTTCTATGTTCTAGGGAAGAGACAGAAAAATGGAGTTGAGGGTTATCCGATCAATCAGGATCTCATTGAATAATGTTGCAGACCTGATGGGCTGAATGGTCTCCTTCTGCTCCTACATTTTATATGTGTTCAGGGGAGGCTGTGACATTGCGGACGAATAACCCAGAGTCACAGATCAATGTTTTCAGCAATTCAAATCCCAACAAGGAAATATTTTGCAGGGCTGTGAAACAGGGGATTGCAAGTAATTGACAAGTCTCTCAAAGAGATATCACCAGCTCAGTGGATTGAATGGCCTCTCTCCATGCACTGAGCTTCCAAGAGCACTGGAGCATGATTGAGAGATTGAAAGATTGGCAGAAAAGATGGGTCTTGACAATAAAAAGCTGCATGTGTTGTTGGATTTAGTACTGGTTAAAGGTCCAGCAACTTTGGAAGTTACAGATGTATCATGTCTGTTTCACAATTATAATTTGTGAGAATGCTTCAGGAACATTAGACAGTTTTACTTGGAAGGGTTAATTATTCAAAGACAATTATCGAGTAATATTAGGGGAAGACTCAGAATGCATGTTGCTAAGATCACATCCTCAAAGATAAAAGCGGAAAATATGTTCACCACAGCATCATGGCTCCATGACAACGGAGAAGCAGCTCATTTCATGGAAACCCAATCGGTGATTGAGGGCTGCTGCTCAGCTGATTTTTAGTTGGTTTTAGCCACAGGTCAGCTGTAATTTCAGAAACTTCATCTCCATCAGTACTTGCACCTGGCGTGATACCGACTTGCTACTGACTTGTTAAAATTATGATATATACAAGATGATCTTAATTTGGGACTGTAGCTTTAAATAAAGGGTAAATGAAGGCGGTCACTTAGGAGGGGAAACACAGGAGGAACACAGGAACAGGAGTGGGCCATTCAGCCTCTCAAGTCTGTTCCACCATTTAATGAGATCATGGATGATCTGCAGCCTAACTCCATATACCTGCCTTTGGCCCATATCCCTTTACTGAACAAAAAATTAACTATCTCAGAGTTAGAAATAACAACTGATCTGGCAACACCGCTATTTGTGGAAGAGAGTTCCAAACCTCTACCATCCTTTGTATGCAGAAGTGCTTCCTAACATCTCTCCTGAATGGTCCGGCCCTAATTCTCAGACAATGCCCTCTGGTTCTAGAATCCCCAAATAATGCAAATAGTTTATTTTTATCTACCTTGTGTTGTCCTGTTAATATCTTGATCAGATCACCCCTTACCTTCTAAATTCTAGAGAAAACAGGCACTTGCACAAGTGTTCTGCAGTCAGTCTAACAGTAAACCTGGGTGGTATAATTGTTAGGGATCAATACCATAAGACCCTATGAAGTAGCAGCAGATGTAGGCCATTTAGCTCATCGAGTCTGCTCTGCCATTCAATGAGATCATGGCTGGTTGATCACCCTCAACTCCTTTGCTGCCTTTTCCCCATAACCCTTGATTTCCTTACTGCTTAGAAATCTATCTCGGTCTTGAATATACTTAAGGACCAAGCTTGACAGCCCTCTGTGGTAAAGAATTCCACAGATTCACTGCCCTCTGAGAGATGAAATTCCTCCTCATCTCTGTCTTAAACATGTGACCCCTTACTCTGATATTATGCCCTCTGGTCCTAGACTCTCCCACAAGGGGAAACAATCTCTCCACATCTACCCTCTCAAGTCATCTATGAATTTCGTATGAATCAAAGATTTTACTGAGGAGATAGTGCGAGGGATCTACACTGATTGCCAATGGCAGTGGCCTCTGAATTTGAAAACAGTAGACTCAGTCTGTCAAAGTCACAGAAAATGTTGTAGGTATCGAGTTTATGAAGAGCTATGCTGTAAATGCTTACAGGGAGGCGATGGCCTAGTGGTATTATCGCTGGACTGTTAATCCAGAGACCCAGATAATGTTCTGGGGATTTGGGTGTGAATCCCGCCACCGCAGATGGTGGAATTTGAATTTAATAAAATACCTGGAATTAAGAATTTAATGATGACCGTGAATCCATCGTCAATTGTTGGAAAAACCCTTCTGATTCACTTATGTCCTTTAGGGAAGAAAACTGCCATCCTTACCTGGTCTGGCCTACATGTGACTCCAGACCCACAGCAATGTGGTTGACTCTGAACTGCCTTCTAGGCAATTAGGGATGGGCAATAAATGCTGTCTAGCCTGCGACACCCTCATCCCGTTAATGAATAAAGGAAAAAAAAAGTGCCTATGGGTTTTTAAAGTAGAAGGGAGTTGGGGTGAAGAGTATCTGATTTCATGTTGCCATAGGGAAGAGGGCAATGCAAGTCATTTTTAAGATTAGGTTTGTTATGATCCCAGAAGATGTTGCGACTGGCTAAGTAACATCCCAGACAGGAACCCAGCTTGACAGATTTTATTTTATTTGTTTTGGTTTCCACAAAGTGGTCTCTCATTGAAACACAAGCATACAATGTTGCAGTTTTTGCTGTAATGATAAAACAAAAACATGCAAGGCCATGGGAAAAATGTGACTAGTTTTTTATGGGACTAATAATGCACTTTTGGCAGTAGAGACTCGATAAGCTGATAGGCCTCTACTCTACTGTATGATTCTATGAATTCTATTCTTTTTGTTACAAAAGGAATGTAGCTAAAATAGAACAGTCCAAACCACTTATAATACAAATTGCAAAGGCTGTTGTTTTCTCTTTGTTTTTGATTGAAGACTGAAATGGGGAAAAGTATTGTATAAAAATAATTGAAGGAAAACAGCTGTTTTGAAAGCAAGTAACCTGATACTTCGAGTCAAACAGTACGGAAAAAGCACTCCAGTTCATAGGTCTGCACTGACCTATCTACTTTAATCCCATCATAAGGACTACTTACAAAGCTGCTGCTTCAAACAGTAGTAGATAGTTTGCAGGCAAGCTGGAGCTATGAGCTGTGTACACTAAGACATTTGGCCAGCAACAAGTAGCTGATCAGTCTGTGGAATAGTACCCAGATATCAACAACAATGTCCTTCTGCCTGTCAACAACTTGGATCGACTGAGCTTGTACTCGCAGGAATTTAGAAGAATGAGGGGGGGATCTCATGGAAGCATATAAAATCCTGATGGGACTGGACAGGCTAGAATGTTCCTGATGTTTGGGAGATTCAGAACTAGGGGTCACAGTCTGAGAATCAGGGGTAAGCCATTTAGGACTGAGAGGAGGAAGAATTTCTTCACTCAGAGTTGTGAACCTGTGGAATTCTCTCCCACAGCAAGCTGTTGGGACCAGTTTGTTAGATAAATTCAAGAGGGAGCAGGACATGGCCCTTGCAGCTGAAGGGATCGAGGGATATAGGGGAAGAGAGTGGGAATGGGATAACGAAATTGCATGATCAGCCATGATCATATTGAATGGTGGGGCAGGATTGACCGGCCTACTCTTGCACCTATTTTCCATGTTTGTATGTGAATGTCTGGATTCCTGTGTGAGAATTACATGATAGACTGCAGACTTCCATCAGTCAGAACAAAACAAACAAAAAGTAAGAAAAACCACAAAGAGCGAGAGCCACAACTAGAATCACTTTTCCCAATAAGGATGGTGAATATTGGGTAAATCATAGCAGGAAACAGCAACAAATCGGGATTACTTTCTTTCTCTCTCTCTCTCTCTGCCCTCACTCCCCACACACACACACACACACACAGTTCTAGTTGTAAGTTCTATTTGCTGAAGTTTGTGGCGACTGTTTTTAGATAGACTCTGTAGACTGTTTGGTGCAGTGTACTGTTTTCTCAATAAACAGACTTTGTTTGCTGTGAAATAGACTATTTGTTGTGAGGGATACAGGGATAGTGTGAGGTAAAGGTGCTGAAATGGAAGATCAAAGGATGATCTCATTCAATGGCAGAGTGGGCTCAAAGGGCTGAATGGTCTCCTCCTATTAGTTTCTCATGACTCCTATTGGAAATCTCTGCCTGACCTCCAAATTATTGCTTGACAAAGTACTGTCAGCAGAAACTTGCAACAATGAGTGAAATGCTCATAGTTTGTCCAATCAAACAACTAACCCATCAGTGCTCTCACTGACAGTGTTAAATGGTAGTTAAGATCAGGTGTAACTTACCACAAGAATGAAGACAGCCAGGGTTGCTTCTGTGCAGTAGCAATGGCATATGGTAGCGAGCCCCCAGCTGATAAAGAGAAGGGAGTCTATGAGAAGTGATGCTTTACAACAGGGTCAAAGGGTTAAGAACTTTTTTTAATGTCTATATAGACTAATTAATTTGCAATAGTGTGACTTTTACAGACAAAAATAATTCAGTTTACCATTCTTCTAATATACTATATAATAGAGTCTACAATGATAACTTGCATTTATTTAGCACTTTTAACATAGTAAAACATTCCAAGGCACATCACAGAAGAGTTTTTAAACATAATTGGATATGGTACCACATAAAGAGATATTGCCATGCACCCATGCAGCAAGGGAAATTGAAGAACCTACCTGGGTAACCCTCTAAACTTGTTCTGACATTCTCAACGGTCGGATAAACCTATTCAAAGAGGCCGTGGTTAATACAGAACGAGATTCACTTTGTGTGTTTCATTTAAATTTAAACATGGCCATTAATAAATATCCCACCTTCAACTGCTTCATCAATGACCTCCCCTCCATCATATTGACTCAAGTGAGAATATTCGGTAATGACTGCAGAATGTTCAGCACCATTCGAGACTCCTCAGATACTGAAGTAGGCTATATCCAAATGCAGCAAGACCTGGACAATATCCAGGCTTGGGCTGACAAGTGGCAAGTAACATTTCCAACACATAAAGGGCAGGCAATGACCATCTCCAACATGAGAGAATCAAGACATTACTCCTTGGCATTCAATGGCATTATCATTACTGAATCCCCTACTATCAAAATACATTGGGTTACCATTGACTAGAAATTAAGCTGGACTAGCCATATAAATACAGTGGCTACAAGAACAGATCAGAGGCTAGGAATCCTCAAGTGAGTAACTCACCTCCTGACTCCCCAAAGCCTGTCCACCATCTACAAGGCACAAGTCAGGAGTGTGATTGAATACTCCCCACTTCCCTGGATAAATGCAGCTCCGACAACAAGAAACTTGACACCATTCATAACAAGGCAACTTGTTTAACTGGCATCACATTCATAAACATTCTCTCCTTGACACACTGACACTCAGACACTGCACTGTGCACCATCCATAAGAGGCAGTGCTGAATTTCACTATGGCTCCCTAGACAGTTCCTTTCCAACCCATCAACACTTCCATCTGAGGCACCGGACCTGGGCAGAAAATGTCAGGGCTCCCTGCTTTTGGAAAGATGTTATTGAAGATGTTGGTGAGTTCGCTGAGCTGGGAGGATATAGCATAGGACAAGCCAAACAGAGAACAGGCAGGGAATTCTTGGAGATTTGGCATTCACCCGTGGACTCCATCAACAAACGCATTGAATTAGACCTGATATACCGACCATTACAATGCACAGCCGGAACCAGCACCTACCGGAAGCAGCAAAAACCAGACCATATAAACTCAAACAAGACAACAGTGCTTCACAGCAGGCTCCAAGCACTGAGGGTGTCACCTAGTAAGGGGACGAAACGCCTGCTATCAAACCTCCCAGCTCAGCAAACACACCAACATCTACAAATGGCACCCGAGCTACAAATCTTCACTCAAACCTGAAAAGATGTTGTTGAACTTGAAAGGGTGCAGAAAAGATTTACAAGGATGGTGCCTGCGTTGGAGGGTTTGAGCTGTAGGGAGAGGTTGAATAGGCTGTGGCTATGTTCCCTACAGCATCAGAGGTTGAGGGGTGACCTTGTAGAGGTTTATACAATCATGAAGGGCATGGATAGGGTGAATAGCCAAGGCCTTTTTCCCAGGATATGGGAGTCTAAAACTGGAGGGCATAGGTTTAAAGTGAGAGGAGAAATATATAAAAGGGATCTAAGCAGCAACTTTTTGACGCAGAGGATGTGCATGTATGGAATGAGCTGTTACAGGAAGTGGTGGAGACTGGTACAATTACAACAATTAAAAGGCTCCTGGATGGGTATATGATTAGGAAGATTTAGAGGGATATGGGCTAAATGCTGGCAAATGGGACTAGATTAATTTAGGATATCTAGTCAGCATACATGAGTTGGACTGAAGGGTCTGTTTCCATGCTGTACATCTCTACAACTCTATGGCAAGGACAGTAGATACGTGGGAGCATCACCACTTGCAAATTCCCCTCCAAACCACTCATTAGCTTGACTCGGAAACATATTGCTGGGTCAAAAGATAGTTAACAGAAAAGAACATACTGGATCCTTTTGATAGTGCAAAAAGCAAATCAGTTATATTAAACATTTGTAAAGTGCTGATTCTGCCTAAATTGGAGTGTAGTATTCAATTCTGGGCTCCACACTTTGAGAAGGATGTCAAAGCCTTAGAGAGGATTCAGCGGAGATTTACCAGAATGGGAGCAGGGATGTGAGATTTCAGTGATGTGAAGAGACTGGGACTGTTTTTCCTTGGAGCTGAGATTTTAACGAGACATTTGATAGTTTTAAAATTGTTGAATGTTTTTGATGGAATTGACACAGCTTCCATTGGCAGAAACACTGGTAAGCAGAGCGAGTTACTCAACTGTCAAAAACAGTAGAGGAAATATTTTCTTATTCAGTAAGTTGTGATGATCTGGACTGTACTGCCTGACAGTGGGCTGAAAGCAAATTAGACAATTACCTGAAAGAAAAATATCTACAGGACTCTCAGATGAGGGATGAACAATAAATGCTGCTAGTCAGTGACAACCATGTGAGAGAATTAAGAAAATAAATCTGCTAGGTACCCAAAAGCCAGCATCAGACTCAATGGGCAGAATGTCCGCCAATTCTACGAGTTTACTCACCAAATGAAGAGGCACCTGCCGCCTGACCTGGCTTTTACCAAGCATCGTGAGGCTCTCCTTAAATTCTGAACACAGCCATTTTGTTTCGTCAGCTCCCAAGGAGCCAATGCTGGAAAACTGGCCAATGAGGGGCCATGACTCATGGTTCACCACAGGTGATGCACAGTTACTCAAGATCTATTGGTAAAATATAAAACAGGATCACATGCAGAGTTCTGGTGACTAATCCAGTGGAAATGTTCCTGCAACGTGTACATGCAATCTGTTTATGTACGGGCTGTTAAATAGTGAGAAATGTCGGCAAACCACTTGCAAGAAAATAATCGGAATGGGTTCAGTCATCAAGAAACTGAATCATGTGAATCACGATCCTTCTCATTCTAGCAAAAGTAAGGACATTAAAAACTGGAGCAGGAATGCCCTCACTTAAAATTGTGTTACATTCCTAAAAATCACAACTGGATGTGAAACAACCTTAAGATCGAGCATTGACCCCTTGGGGATCAATGTTCAAACTGGAGTTAGGTTCTGTAGATCGTTCCTTAGCAGAGAGAAAAACAAATTAAAACATTAAACCTGGACCCATAAGGTTGAAATACAGTGGTTTAAATTCCTACATTGGTAAATGAAATAACACATGGTGAACACAAATTAACACACCACAAAGCGAATAGTTAGAGTGTGAAATGCACTGCCTGGACATCTGATGGAGGCAGGTTCAATTGAGGAATTCAAGAGGGCAGCAGACTTTTTTTGGATAGTAATGGGATGCAGGGGTGTAGGGAAATAGCAGAAGATTGGCACTAGATAATAGAGTTGGATTATGTAGTAGAGCGGGAGTAGGCATGATGGGCCAAACAGCCTCTTTCTCTACCATAATAATTCTGATCCTGTGATTCTCAGAGAGCGAGAACATCCCACTGCCTGGGCTGCAGGCCAATTGCTGGGGCTGCACAATGGCATCGTTTTGGGGATTTGCAGTACTCCTTTTTGATGGCGGCTGCCATTTCCAGGGTCTGCTCTGGCCACCGCTCAAGGTGGGGGGCTGCTCCTCTTTGCTGGCTGTGTGATCTTGGTCTCCCTTCCCCTATTTCTGGCAGGCAGGGTGTTGAGCAGGGCTTTTCCAGAAGCTTTGGGGGAGGGGTGGGTCAGGGTTTGCTGACGGTGGCTCTGTCCAGTCTGGGTGGGCATGGAGAGCATCAGGGCTGCTCCACCCAATAATCAGGCCCATCATGCCTACTGTGTGTGTTATGGACCAGACCGGATGCTCTCAAAAGCTAGTCTAGATCCTAACTTTTTCCTATTTTAAAGGCAAATGTAACGTGCTGTGTTCAAGATGCAATTCGATTGGTCAAACTATTCGATGTTAAGCAAAACACAATTTATTCAAGTTAAAATCCAAAAGGAAGAAGAACTTAGAATAACAACACTATTGGAAAACTTAACAGAATAACAGACACAGTAACCAATACTAATTAACCATTCCAATATAGTAACATCCCATAAACATACCCCTTGGGCAAAAAAGCAAACTCAGGAAAATAGATTTGTCTCGCAGGCAACCCAGCAGCAGAGAGAAACCCCAGCCTCGAGCTATAATCGAGAGAGGAAAAAGATAAGCTTCTACTTCTTCAAAACTCCAGCAGCTTCTGCCCTGTTGAGATTCCAACAGCAACAGCTTACAAGCTAAACCAAAAAAAACTGAAAAAAAATACTAGAAATCCTGGTCTGAGAGAGCTGGCCACACCCAGATAGGCTGCTTCTATTGCTCCAACTTTCAAAATAAAACCCAAGGCCTCACAAGCTGTTTTCTGGCTCTCCAAGTAAACAGCTTACATCTCCGTGTTTAAACCTATCTTGAAAAAAAAAGCAGGACAAAATGACCTCAAAGCCACAGCATCGTCACGTGTGGGCCAACTTAATTATCTAGAGCCAATCTCTTGTCTTTTCCCCATATTGCTGCACGCCATTATTATCCAAAAAAAAAAAAATCTACCAACCACCCAACCTGCAAACAGGACAGACAAAATTGGGTTTGAATAAAGGCAGCTTGGAGTTTGCCCAGCTACATCTTCACATTGCATGTCTCGGCTTTGGAAAAGGTACATAGCAGATTTGTTAAAATGTGAGCAAGCCACTGGAGTTGTTCTCCTTAGATTGGAGAAGATTAAGGGTAAATTTAATAAGGATATTCAAAATCAAAGGTTTCGATAGAATAGACACACTTTAAAATGGCAGAAGGTTAGGTCAACAGAGGATACAATGTTTTTTAAATTCACTCGTGGGTTTGGATGGCTGCTGAGCATTCATTGCCCATTCCTAGTTGCCCTTGAACAGAGTAGTGTGCTCAGTCATTTCAGAGGGCAGTTGTGAGTCGATCACATCGCCGTTGGTCTGGAGTCACATGTAGGCCAGACCAGGTAAGGGTGGCAGATTTCTTTCGCTGAAGGACATTAGCGAACTAGATTGCGTTTTCCAACTATCATAATGGACATCAGTACATTCTTAATTCCAGATTTTTTGTTTGAATTCAAATTTCATCATCTGCTGCAGTGGGATTCGAACCCGAGTCCCCAGAACATTAGCCGAGTTTCTGGATTAATAGTCTAGGAATAGTACCACAAGGGAATATTTAAGGTTATGGTTAAAAGAACCAGTAGGTCAAGGGAGAGGGGGAATACGGTAAGTATTCAATGATGGCTCAATGATAACTTTCAAAATAGGGAAACTGTATAAGCATTGAGCTTAAAAGGAGTCTTCAGGTCACGTGCCCAATGGGTTTGTATACGAGACACATCTAATGGTCCATTATTACAATGTTTCACTAACTTTGAAGTGAGCTCAATGTGTCAAGGAATCTCATTCTGCACTGGTCAATATCTTCACTTTCCATAAGTCAGGCTATGGTTCAGGTTGTTGCCCGAGGAATACTGAAAGGCAAAACAGCCAATGAGAGACTGGGATGTGGGCAGGACAGGGAGGAAGGGGAAAGTGAAGTCTGTCTTCACAAGAACACTTCCAAAAAAATATATAATTCATTCATGGAACATGGGCGTCACTGACTAGGCCAGCATTTATTGCCCACCCTTAATTACCCAGAGGGCAGATAAGAGTCAACCACATTGCTGTGGGTCTGGAGTCACACAGAGGCCAGACCAGGTAAGGATGGCAGATTTCCTTCCCCAAACGATGTTTGTGAATCAGATGGGGTTTTTTTTTTTTTCAAACAACACTGACATTGTTTTCATGATCATCATGAGACTCTTTATTCCAGATTGTTATTTTATTCAAATTTTGCCACCTGCCATGTGGGATTCGAACACATGTCCCCGGTGCATAAGCCTGAGGCTCAGGATTGCTAATTGAGCGACATTACCACTATGCCACCACTGCCTCCACTAATGGCCCATCCCTCATTGCCCTTGTAAAGGTGACTGCAAACCAGCTTTTTTGAGCCAAGACACACCCCGGGTGCTGTTTGGGGAGGGAGTGCCAGGGCTTTGAGGTGCAGAGTAGGCTGCAAGAGAACATGTTGGTAAACAGTGAAACTGTGCTGCTCTGCAAAGTTGTATTAAATGGGCTACAAGTTGAGAGAGTGGGCAAAGCATGGTAGCTCTTAGCTGATGTGTTTGCACCCAAGTCATAATTGTTTAAGATTCAACAGTATAGTAATTATGAAAAAATGACTTGTTTAAAATGTCAAGTAAATGTCTGCCACTTGTAATTCTGTTCAACGCATAGTTGCTTAAAATTTTAACAGGTATCATTATTCACCTGCACAAACATAGTCCCCACCAGAGATATTTCTCTCTGATTTTCAAGGCAAAGTTAAATTTACATACCTTGCCGAGTTTTAAGTGACCCCATTTTTGTTTCTCGTTACCTTGGTGACGGCCAGGAGTGGAGCCAATGAGATAAACTCTGCCAAGAAAATAATTTAATAGTTAAATAATTGCGTGTAAGCCGTTTTAAACGTGATATGAACAGAAAGACAAAAGACTCGCATTTAAAGACAGACCTTCATGTACCTTAGATGTTCAAGTACTTTTGAGCCCATTAAATATTTCCTGAAGGGTAATCATTGTTGCACTGTAGGAAATGCAAGGCAAGATTCCACAAACCTGCTAAACGTGGTCAGAGACGTGGCTGTAGGATCAGACTCACTGGCCATGTGATGACTCACAGAACCCATAACCAGTGACACGAAATTTCCAGGGTGGACAATCATACTCGTTTACGAGAGACTCCTGACAATGAATTACCAGATTATCTCCTTTTGTGATGTTGATTGAAGGATAAATGTTGGCCAGGACAAACGAGAACACTTTGACCCCACTATGTGAATAGACTCTACTTAGGGTGCATCCAAAATACAGCATCAAAACAGCAAGGCAGCTATCCCCATGTCCTGGTCCAACATTCATTCCCTTGACTAACTGAACGCAGCTGGATTCCAAGCCCGATAAGTGATGTCGAAAACTGGATATAGGTACTTCTGCTATAGTGCATGTTAAATTAATGCGAATTGGCTGTAACGCGATTGACAAATAGTGGACGCTTTTTGGATAATGCAAACTTTCTCCTGTACAGTGTAGCAATTTTCAATAGCAATTTCCCTATAACGTGATTTTCTAGGACGATTTTCTCTAGCGCAAAAATGCAACTATCGTGTTATAGGAGAACTACCTGTACAAACCTATTTCTTCACTGACTATTTAAAGATATAATGATGTACCATGTAAATAAACAATGTGACTTGGGCAAGTTGAGAGAGTGGGCAAAGCATAGCAGATAAAACATAATACGGATAAAATGCGAGGTTGTAGGAACAGAAAGGCAGATTATTATATGAATGGCGATAGACTGAGAAAGGGTGAGGTGCAATGAGACTTTTTTATTTGACACCAATAGCTGAAAGTAGGTATTGCAGGTGCAGCAGATGGTGAACACGGCAAATGGTACGTTGGCCTTCATAGCGAGAGGATTTGAGTTGAGGTGCTGGGGTGACTTGCTGCAATTGTACAGGGCATTGGTGAGGCCACATCTGGAAAAACGTGTGCAGCTTTGATCTCTTTATATGAGGAAGGATGTTCTGGCATTCAGGGAGGGAGTGTGACAAAGGTTTACCGACTGACTCCTGTGATGACAGGACCAACATACAAAGACAGACTGGATCTGTTAGTGCCATGCTGACTTGTAAATCTGTCACTGTTCCTTCACTGTCATTGGGTCAATATTCTGGAACTCCCTCCCTAACAGCATTGTAGTTGTACACACAGCACATGGTCTGTAGCGGTTCAAGAAGGCACCATCTCTCAAGAGCAACTAGGAATGGGCAATAAATGTTGATCCAGATGCTCATTCCATGAGTGCATGAAAAAATTAACTGGAATTTAGAAGAACGAGGGGGCATCTCATAGAAACCTATAAAATTCTAACGGGACTGGACAGGGTAAATGCAGGAAGGATGTTCCCGATAGCAGGAGAGTCTAGAACCAGGAGTCATAGTCTAAGCATATAGGGTAGGCCATTAAGGACTTAGATGGGGAGAAATATCTTCACCCAGACAGTGGTGAGTCTGTCAAATTCTTTGCCACAGAAAGCAGTTGAGGCCAAAACAGTGAATATTTTCAAGAAGGAGTTACATATAGTTCTTGGGGCTAACGTGATCAAAGTGTGTGAGGAGAAAGCAGGAACAAGGCACTGTGTTGGATGATTAGCACGATCATGCTGATCAGTGGGGCAGGCCAGAAGGGCTGAATGGCCTACGCCTGCTCCTATTTTCTATGTTTCTGTGTTTCATGGGATCTGGGCATTGCTGATCTTCTTTGCATTCATTGCCCATCTTTAAAAAGGATGTGGTGAGCTGCCATCATGAACCAGTCCTATCTACCAACCCATTCCCTCTTTACTGTGTTGAATAGATATTTTCTAATCATTCTGTTCGAAGAAGTTATCACACACCTATGGAGCAGGTAGGAATCAAACTCAGATCTCCTGACTCGGAGGAAGGGGCATTACCACAGATTATAAACAGATTGTCTGGTCATTACTGTTTTCATAGTAAGAGCTTACTATGTGCAACTTAGCTGCTGTGTTTCTGATATAAAACAGTGACTACAGTTTGAACGTACTTCAGTGGTCTTTGGAATGTCCCCAGGATGAAAAAGATGCTATATAAAGCCAACTGATAGTTTCTGAATTGGGCGGAAGAAGTAGCAGAGATCAGCATTCAGCTTGATCTGTCCTAAGAAAATGTACGAAGCTTCAAATAAAGCAAAGCAGAAATGCAAATAGGCAAAGCAATGCAAAATAAACAATTGACTGTGCACACAAAGAGTGCCCGACGGGCAAAATGGAAGAGTAGTGGAGGGTCACAGGCACTGAATCTCTTTAAGGAAGTCAGCATCTAGGACCCAACAGGAGAGTCACAGCCTGACTTTGTTTTAAATACATTCATGGAATGTGGGTGTCAGCGGCTGGGCCAGCATTTATTGCCCAAGCCCAGTAGACACTTAAGAGCAACTCAAGTTACATGTAGGTCAGAACAGGCGAGGATGGAATTAACTTCACTAAAGGATATTAGTGAACCAGATGGGTTTTTACAACAATCTACAATAGTTTCATGGTCTTAATTGCAGACTTTTACTGAATTCAAATTCTACCATCTGCCATGGCAGGATTTGAACCTTGGTCCCCAGTGCATCTCTAGATTAACAGTCTAGCAATAATACCATTAGGCCATCACTTGCCCCAGAAATTAATTGTCCTCACAATCCATATATCTCTCTTCAGCCCAAACAATAGTCACCTCACTTCCACATGTTCAATGCAAGGTTTCAGGAACAGGAGGAGACCACTCAGCTGCTCAAACCTGTCTGCCCATAGTAGATCTATATTATAAGCTTCATCAAACCACTTCAGTTCCTTTAGACCATAAGATACAGAAGCAGAATTAGACTATCATGGCTGATATGTTTTTAACTGATAGTTTCTTTCCATATCCCTTATTTTCTTTTTGTTCAGTCAGGGTAATGTCTCGAACTCAGGTTTGACATTTTCTAGGTTTTTTTTCTCGGTTTGGGGGCTAGTAGAGTAATAAACTTTTATCCCATTTGTGTGATAAAACTCTTCCTGACGTCATGCTTGAATGGCCTGGCTCTAATTTCAAACAGCCATTGGATTAAACAGAGTCCACTTACGCAGTCCGAGATATTAATCATCTGAACATCTCACTTAAGTCACCCATTCACCTTCCTACACGTTAAAAATACAGTGTACAAGCCTAGTCTACGCAACCACACCTCATCACTTATTGTTCTCATTATTCCCCTGGTGGACATGGAGATGGAGAAGATGTTTCCACTAGTAGGAGAGACCAGGACCTGAGTGCACAACCTCAGAGTGAAGGGCTGACCCTTTGGCACTGAGATGAGGAGGAATTTCTTCAGCCAGAGAGTGGTGACTCTGGGACTCATTGCTGCAGAAGGCTGTGGGGGCCAAGTCATGAAGTGTATTTAAGACAGACATAGATAGGTTCTTGTTTATTAAAGGGAATCAAGAGTTATGGAGAGAAGGCAGGAAAATCGGGTTGTGTAACATACCAGCCATGATTGAACGGTGGAGTGACTCAAAGGGCTGAATGGCCTAATTCTACTCGTATATCTTAAGGTCTTATAGTCTTATAGGTTCCACTGCACTCCTTTCAAGGCTAAAATGTCTTTGCTGAGTGAGAAAGTTGAGTCTTAAAAGTTAGTTCTATGAAGATATCTTTATCAAGCTAGTTGACTGGAACCTCACAGTTTCATTGTTCATTATAAACCCCCACACTAATACTTTTCATTTTTTGGCAATGATTTTTGGAAGATATAGAAAAGCCTGCAAGGAACATCACGATGCTATGAAAGATCAACAGACACAGGCTGTGCATTCCATTAAAGAGCCAAGGTAGGCCTTTGTCATATCCAGCACAACATGACCTAGGCGTATCCATATAAAACAGAGCAAATTGTCTATGGGACATTGAGCCTGCAACTGTCAGACCGCAACACATCTATTCAAAACTCTATTTTGAAGAATAAAAATTACCACCAGCTTAATGTTTTAACGCATGGTCATGTATGAATAATCCATGCAAATCTCTTGGAGTGCAGTCATTGTGCCTGCAAACACAGCAGACAACTCATGCACAGCAAGATCCCAAAAGAGCAAACAAGATGCTGTTGAATGGGTTCTGGGGATTGGTTGAAAGATGAATGCTGGCCCCGGTGAGTTGGTAAAGCTTTTCTCGTCTTCTTCATAACGCTCCCATCGGATCTGTTACGAAGTTCATGGAGGGGAGTTCAGTTTAACGTTTTGGTTTGAAAGATGGCACACCCTGACACTCACTCAGTGGTAAGATCGAGAACTTGCGGAATGGATTTAACTCTCGTGAACTGACAAACATTGCACCCAAAATTTGTCTTTTTCTGTGGTGTTCTTCACCCAGAGTCGGGGGGGGGGGTGGTGAGAGGAGGGAGATAAGATTCCTGACATGGTGTCCAGATCCTACAACAGGAATGTTTCTTGCAAATTTTAATTAGTGGTTACCAATGTTCTACTCTGGAAAGCCAGTTGGTGTAGGATAGTCAATTGTTTCTTAGTTTTACATTTATTTACAGGGTGACACATTACAAGCAAATACCTCCTCACTCAACACCAGCAGTTTCAATAACTGTGGGCAACTAAAGAAGTTAAGGAAAGCATCAAAAGTAAGGAAAAAATAAATAACTGCCGAGGGGAGTGACAGGTAGGATAATTAGTCACAATATAAAAATGGCTGGGAATGATGAAAAGGTTAATCAAGAACAAGAAATTATAGTATGATGGAAAGTGAGATAGAACTGTAAAAATGGATACAACAAGAGTTTCTAAAGGTTTCTAGAAAGGAAGAGAGTTTAAAAAAACTGCTTGTCCTCCAGACAGGAGTTAATGGTAAATACTGAGGCAATGCCTGATGAAACAAACAAATATTTTGCTTCCATGTTCACATAGGCGATACAAGAAAAAACACCCCAATAGTCATTGGAAAGCAGAGGTGGAAGGAAAAGAGGGACCTGGTGAAATTACAATCATAAGAGATGTAGTACTAAGCAAACTGATAGAATTGCAGGCTGACAAGTCTCTGGGACCAGACAGACTTCACCCGAGGATCTCAAAAGAAGTTGCTGGTGAGGTATTAGATGCATTGGTGTTAATTTTGTAAAATTTGCTGTATTCTGACATGTTTCCATGAGACTGAAAAGTAGTGAAAAATTCAAGAAAGGAGAGAGGCAGAAAACAGGAATAGCTTGAGGTCTGTCTTGGGGAAGGTGTTAAATCAATCATTAAAGATATTGTGGCTGCGCACTTACAAAAACTCAAGGTAACTGGGAAATGTCAGTATGGTTTTGTCAAAGGGAAATCCTGTTTAACCAATGCATTCTTCTTCATTGAAGGAGTAACATATGCTGCTGACATGCTGTACTTGGATTCCCAGAAGGCATTTCAAAAGGTGCCCCAGAAAAGGTCACCATGCAAAGTAAAAGCATATCATGTAAGGGGACGATAAGGACTGTAGATGCTGGAAGCTAGAGTCTATAGGCGTGACTGGAAAAGCACAGCAGGTCAGACAGCATCCGAGGAGCAGGAAAGTCAACATTTCAGGCCAAAAACGTTTGTCAGTACTGGGGAGGGGAGGGGGAGCCGGAAATGAATTGGGGTGGGGGGGGGGGGGAAGGTTGGAGATATGGTGATAGATGGATGCAGGTAGGGTGTTACTGTGATTGGTCCGTGGGAAGGGTGGAACGGATAGGTGAGTGGGAAGATGGACGGGTTAGGTCAGGTCAGGAGGGGGAGGGATGGACATGGGATAAGTGTGGGGGTGGAGGGAGTTTGAAGCTGGTGAAGTCAATGTTAAGGCCATTGGGCTATAAGCTTCCAAGGCGAAATATCAGGTGTTGTTCCTCCAGTTTACGTTTGGCCAGTATGGAGAGAAGATTGGTTGGCTGACAGAAAAGAAACAGTATGCACAAATGGCTCTTTTTCTGATTGGCAGGGTGCAAAGAGTAGAATCTCTCAGGCTGGGTGCTTGAGCCTCACCTGGTTATAATCAATATCAATGATCTTGATGAGTGGAGTGAAGCTAAATTTGCAGACAGCACAAAGTTAAGTAGGTTGTAAAGAGGGCATAAGGAGGTTGCAGATGGATATAGGTAGATTGGGGATGAGATCTAGTAGAAGGCATTTAAGGAACGTATGAAATTGTTGGTAAGAACAATAAAAAAGCAGAGTATTACATAAATGGAGAATGACTGTAGAATTCTAAGGTGCAGAAGGATCTAGGTGCTGTATTGTATAGTATGCAGTTACAGCAAATAATTAGGAAGGCTAACAGAATGCTATCCTTTATTACGGGAGGAATTGAACATAAACGTAAAAACGCTATGGTTCAGTTATACAGGGTGTTGATAAGACAACATCTTGAATACTGTGCGCGGTTTTGGTCTCCTTATTTAAAGAAAGATTTAAATGTGTTGGAGGTGGTTCATTGTGAGTTTATTTGAATCATACCTGGAATGAGAGGGTTGACTTATGAGGAAAGATTAGACAGACAGGGCTTGTTTCCACTGGAATTTAGAAGAGTGAGGGGTGACTTAATTGAACTGTGTAAGATCCTGAATGATTTTGCTAAGGTGGATATGGAAATGATTGTTTCCTCTTGTGGGCGAGTCCAGTCTAGGACCACTATTTTTAGGGGTCACCCTTTCGGGACATGTGATATTGGAACACTCCATCTCAGAATACAGTGCTGGCAGGGTCATTGAATATGCTGAAGCGGGTGATAGATGGATTGCTGTTGGGCAAGGGAATCAAAGATTATTGGAGGTAGATCAGAATATAGAATTCAAAATGCAAACAGGGAAGCCATGATCAAATTGAATGGCGGAGCAGGCTTGAGGGGCCAAGTGGTCTATTTCTATTCCTAATTCATATGTTCATAATAAATGTTGCATCATATGTCATCAAGTGAAACCCCAAATAAGCAACTGCATACAATAAAGTATAATTAACGTACCATTTGTAACTATATCAAGTTTATCCTAGAAATTGTCCCACATGCAATCATGAATCTATCATCAATGGTCATAAAAATCCATCTGGTTCACTGCTCTCCTTTCAGGGAAGGTAATCTTCCATCTTTAACCAGTCTGGCCTACATAAGAGTCCAGGTCCACAATGATGGGATTGACTCTTAACTGACCTTTGAAATAGTCTAGCAAGCCACTGAGTTCAAAGACAACCAGGGATGGGCAACAAATGCCCATCTTGTCAGCTACGCCCACTTTCCACAAAGGAGTAGAAAAAAATCTATAATTCTCTCTTGATGCCCTGAACAATAATGAGGGCTCAAAGCTATTTGTTGAGCAGTTCCGTTGTCTAAAACAGGCTGGCCTTAGTAATGACGGCTGTCCTTTGCCCAGAGTTTCTGACTTCACCCTAATATCACGTTTAGATGTGTGCATGTGCTTTGTTTTGTTCAAAACAAGTTAATTGTGACTTCTTCCATTCACTTCCCTGACTCCAACCTTTGGTTCCAACTCCCCTGAGGCCCTAGCATCGCTGACGTCAATGTTACCATGCTACCCCCGGGTAATCCACAGGGTCTACCAATGGCATTGGTGGTTCTAATGAAGAAAGAGTGAAAGCCCCCGACTCAATGAATCTGCTTCTTTTGTTCACCTCTCTCTCGTTTCGAGCAGCCCTCCCAGATGTTTGGCTCGCTGAATATCTAGCGCCCCATACACTGTTGCATCTAACAGTTCACATTTGTCCTGTCAGGGAGAAACACCACCCGGACAGACCAGAGGAACCAGACTTAGCTAGGATCCTGACACTGGAGAAGGTCATTCACAGGATTCATGTTACATTTAGCTACATTGAGCCTACAGCACAGAAACAGGCAATTCAGTCTGAATGATCTGTGCTGCCATTTCTGCTCCAAATGAGCCTCCTTTCACCTTCATCTTGCCCTTCAATTCCTTTCCCCTTCATCAGTTCATCCCCCTTCTGCTACTCACATCCCTCTCTCCCTTTGGGAGCACGTCCCTCACTCGTACCCCCCAAATGGATGAAGTTCAATTGGGTCCCGACACTCCTGAGGTGATGCAATCAGAACACACCTAGTTTCCGATAAATCGTGCTGCTTTACATGAGTGATCCATTCTCCGAGCCCAGAGGACCGGTAAGCTGCCAGGTAATCAATCAAATCGCGTTTGAAGTTCGTCATGGATTCACCCGATGTTTCAGAACTGCCTTCTGGTAACCGGGGATACAGAGGGCTTAGCCATATCCTAGCAACAAACAGGAAGCAAAGGTTCATTCAATGTTCAAACAGAAGACGTCTGCATTTCTACAGTACCTCTCACAATTTCAGGACTTCCCAACGTGCTTCACAGCCAATGAAATACTACCACCGGAGGGAAGCAACCAATCTGTACACAGCAAGCACCCACAAATAGGGATGCAATAGTAAACATAACATTTCTTTTTAAGATGGTGAGGGAGAAAGGTGAGCCCAGTTAACAACAGGAGACCTCTGCCGGCTCTTCTCTGAAACAGTCACAGTACCAAAAGATTGTTGGTTTACTGAAACTTGCAGGACTGGAAGGTCCCTGGTGAGAGGTGGCGTGGGGCAGTAGAAGTGGGCTCTGAGTGGCTTGGCAACAGGGGGCTGGGAATCAGTTGGACAGGGCTCATGCCCCTTGGCACCTCCCTTAAGTCGTGAGAACCTCAGGCATGAGCAGCGACTGTGCTCTTCTTGCTGTGGTCACCTAATGGACAGATAACTGCTTAGCCTCAGTGTCTAGGCCCGATCATTTGTTCATGCCATTTTACACTGTTAACAGACCTCAGAGCTGTGAAGAAAAGTTACATTGAAACTAAAGCACAGAAACAGGCCATTTGCCTCAACTGTTGGTTTAGACTCTGAATATATCTTCTCCACTCTAATGTATACAGCCCTTCCAGCATTATGTTCTGTATCTTTCTCCCTCATGTGCATAACCTAGCTTCCCTTTCTTATGCTATGCACCGCAACTTCTCCCTGCAGTAGTGAGTTCCATATTCTAATAATTCTCTGGGTAAAGGCATTTTACCTCACTCCCCTCCTGGGTTTAACCAGTCCTCTATTATACTTGTAGCCCATACATTTGAGGTCACCCACAGGTGCAGACCTCACCATCTTAAACAATCTCTTGTCAGGCCAAATCTCAGTCTTCTGGTAAGACAAATCACAGACAAGCATTCATTCCACTGTCCGCCTAAGTGTGCCCGCTCTAGCACGAGGCACAGGGAGTCACCACCACCTTCTCAAGGGCAACTAGGGATGGGCTGGCATATTCAGCGACACCGACACCTCATGAATAATTCATTAATAATAATGAACTTTAACGACGAATGAGAGTAGACTGAAGGTGCCGTTATTGGCCGGTTTCATTTGTCCTGCACTTTATGTACCGTACATACCTGGGCAGTTTTCCGTATTAGAATAGAATAGAATCCCTACAGTGTGGAAACAGGCCCTCCAGCCCGACAAGTCCACACCGACCCTTGGAGCATCCCACCCAGGCCCATCCCCCTAATCTACAGACCCCTAAACATTACAGGCAATTTAGCATGGCCAAGCCACCTAGCCTGCACATCTTTGGACTGTGGGAGGAAACCAGAGCACCCGGAGGAAACCCACACAGACACGGGGAGAATGTGCAAACTCCACATAGACAGTCGCCTGAGGGTGGAATTAAACCCGGGTCCTGTGCGCTGTGAGGCAGCAGTGCTAACCACTGAGCCACCGTGCTGCCCTATTGTCGGGTAGTTGCCCGACAGTGGTGTAGCTGGACGGGAACAGCTGTGTATTCATCACCCTGAGCTCATTGACATATATTGGCTGTGCCTCAATTTTAAAATTCATAACCTGGTCTCCCTATAACCTTGACCCTCTCTGCTCCAGCTGTACAACATTCTGCATTCTTCCAGCAATGGTCTCTTGCACCTCTCTGGTTTTAATCACTTCACAAAAGATGGTCTCGTCTTCAGCTGTGCAGGTCCGAAGATCTGGAATCTGATCCCTAAACATCTCTGACTCGCTTCCTCTCCCTTCAAGATCCTTCTTCAAGTGATACCTTGGTCCAGTTTTTGGGTGCCTGTGCTAATATCTCTCTGTGCGACTCAGCATCAAATCATATGAAGTGTTCCTGTAAAGTGTCTTGGAGCATTACTTTAAAGATGCCACAACTGCAATCAGCCATGAATAACAGTAAAAAATTATACTGTGTAGAGCCTGGTGTGCAGTGGTTGTGGTGAAGAGTCTATTTTCCAATTGGCAGTAATAGACTACTCGAAGTTCTGTTTGAGCAATGTCTGTGTAATGAGAATTCTACAAGAGCAGAACCACAGGGAAATATTTAGCCCATATTATGGAAAATGACCATATCAGTCTTTATTTATAAACTACTTTGAGATGAATTTCCTATGACCAAACTGCGGTCCCATATTATTTACGCAGTCAGTTCTCCCTCATCTATTCCATTATGGTGGTAAGTGGGTCACAGCTATTGAATGCTCTTAAGTCAAAGTGCCCAAACGGATAGTCTGGCAGACAGAAATACCTGATGTTTACCCTCAGTGCAGTGGAAGATAAAAAGAATCTGTCAATGTGAAAAGTTGGGAAAATCTAGACAAGTGTCAGAGGAAGAAAGAAATAGGAGGATAGGGTGCTGGGATATGATGAAGGAGGACAGGAAGAGACCGGTTTCTAAATGTTTAGCAGTACTTTGTAACATTGTAACAATGAGATGACATGTTGAGGAAGCTTTTTAATCTTGCATTCAACAGGACAGGCACAAGAATGCCAAATTTCAAAAGGATACTGCATGAGATAAGAGTGCTCATTGGTTGGCAAGTCAACTCTAATTGACTGAGGCATCGTCATGGAAAATCCTCCAGGGAACAACTGTCACCCACACCTTTGTTTAATTCAAGAAAAAGGGTGCAAAACCTGGACATGTTTCCTTTTCTGCAGGGGATAGGTCTCTGCTCATGAATATATGCAGCTTCCAAGAAGTGAAAGTGAGCTCCAGCGTTGTCTGGCTGATAGTTTTAAATTGGTGGTTAATATCATTCTTGGCACACTAGGTATTGTTCAGCAAATGCTGTGCAGTTGCGGAATCACATCTAAACATCGCAAAACTAAATGAGGATAAGAATAGGTCAGGGTACCAGAGACAATTCCTCTGCTCTTCTACAAAAGTCGTGCCATGGATCTTTATGTATGTACGAAAGGGCAACTGAGCCTCAGCTTGCCATCTTAGCCAAAACGTCCACCTTTAACAGCACAGCACTCCCTCAGGTCTGCACTATTGTAGGGCATAGACCTCTGGGGATAAACAGTCAGAGGGAGGGTAGGCCAGAGCTGAAAGACTAAAAGAGAAACTGGGGTGTAGGGCCCAATCATTTCCAATTGATGAGCTGCAGAGGGATTGTGTGACAAACACAGGTGAGGACTGAGGAATTGGAGATGCTTCTGAGCAACTCAGTCCCAGAGGACACTAGCTTGACATAGGGATATAGATTGTTGAAGTGGGCAAATGTTTGGCAAATCAAGTGAGAAAATGTGAAATCATCTCCTTTGACAGAAAAAATAAAAAACAAGTATATTGTTTAAATGGTGAAAAGTTGCAGAACTCTGAGATGCAGCAGGATCTGGCTGACATGTGCATGAATTGCAAAAGGTTTGCATGAAGGTAATTAGGAACACTGATGATATTATTACAAGAAAATCTGAATACAAAAGTATTCACTGTTGAGACCACATCTGGAATACCATGCACATTGTTGGTCTCCTTATATAAGGAAGGATGTAAATGCACTGGAACCAGTTCAGACAAGGTTTAACAGACTAATACACATTGCATTGTGAGGAAAGATTGGACACGCTACTCCTTTGTCTACTGAGTCAGAAGTCACACGACGCCAGGTTAACGGCATCTGATTTTGTCCACCCCAGCCCAATACCAGCACCTCCACATCATGTCTACCATCAACACTGTATCTACTGAAATGTACAATTGCAAGAGGCAACTTGATCAAAAGATACAAGATCCTGAGAGGTCAGGATGGATGTAGAGAGGATGTTTTCTCTTGTGGGAGAATGTAAAACTAGAGGTCACCATTTCAAAATGAGGGATTGTCCATTTAAGACAAAGAAAAGGACAACTCTTCTTGAAAAGTCAGTGCAAGTAGACTTTGAATATTTTTCAGACAGAAATGAATCCTTGAAAAGTGAGGGGTTGAAAGTTTATCTGAGGATTGGCAGGAATGTGGAGTATTTAACACAAGCCATGATCTCATTTGAATGGTGAAGCAGGCTTGAAGGGCCGAGTGACCACCTCCTGTTCCTAATTCATAAGGTCCCTTTGAGGGAGGTGTGACAGAAAGAAAATACAGGAAAGAGAGATACTTATCATTTCATATGTGGGGTAAAAGACAGACGAAAAGATACCTGCCTTTATCAGATACAAAAGTAAGCTTTGTGATTAATATGCAGACAATTAAGTCATCACAGTCCTGTTTTCAGACAAGACTACTGAAGTGGGAGTTTGGGGAGGAGGGATATTGTTGTTTAGAGGTACTTTAAGGACAGGCAAGATGGTACATGATTATGTACCCAAGCTGTTAGGCTCTGAGGGGAACAATGATCTGCAGCTCAGTGACGCAAAGTGAGAGCTCAGTGTTGTGTTTCCTCTCTCTCCGTTTTTTCGCCAGAGAAGTACCTCAGCCACTACTGTGCTGCCCCAACCCACTCCTTAAAACAGACTCCTTGCAGCGTGCGTAGCTCTGAGTTGGAGGACGGCTATTTGGTAATGGGAGGCATTGCTGCCTGACTCAAACCAGGCATCTTCCTGTGTTGCGTGATTCTTTGGCTCAAGATTTGTTTTAATTTATTATTGTCACATGTACATAAGTACAGTGAAAAGTTTTGTTTTGCATGCATTACAGGTAGATCATAACATACAAAAGATACAAAGATCACAGGGTGATTGAACAGATCGAGGAACACAAAGTTACAGCTGCAAAGAAGGTGCACGAAAAGCAAGATCAACATTAGATTTGAAATTTGAAAGGTCCATTCAGAAGTCTAATAACAACGGGGAAGAAGCTGTTCTTGAATCAGTTGGTACGTGTGTTTAAGCTTTTGTATCTTCTGCCTGCAGAAGTATCTCAGGCATGCATATTACCCACTGAACTTCAGCTGAACTAGAATGTACAGCATGGAGTTCTAACATGCTTCCTTTGTCAAATCAAGTGGCTGAAATTTTGACCCATAAGATCCCTTCTGTGTAATCTTGTTTTTTGTGGTGCCAACTGCAGCCCTTCAAAAAATGGCCATGCCAATCCTACCCTTGCGTCTTTTGATGCCAGTCAGCATGAATCAAGTTAGACGTGTGGATCACGACGCGAAAACCCTCTTCGTACAGGAGTAACATCATTTTCCTGCAGAGGAAAGAGCGAGAGCATGTTGAGCAAAGAAAAACAAAATAGACAGACATAAAATGTTAAGGCTGAAGTGAAGACATTACTCACTGATGGGTTAACAATAGCAATTTACGTTCCAGTTAAAAGCCAAGGGAATAACCTGACCTGACCATAGGTTTGAAAATTACAAAGGGATTCATCGGACTTTTAGAAATCAAGAGTAAATTTACAGGAAGGAAGGTGAGAAAGATTATTTTCTCTCAATAGGATGTTAAGACCCAATGGGCTTAATTGAGTCTCACTAATCCCAGAATCTTAGGCGTATCTATCAGGTTCACTATTATGACCCACTGGGGGTAGCACAGCATAAATCATGCCCTATTACTCCTGGAGCCTTATCAAAGGTTAAAGTTTGTTTTTAAGATACATATATTAACCTAATGTACCTGGTTTTCAGACCAAGGTTGGTAGAAAATACAGAGCAGGTTTCTATATTAAATAATAATTATTATTTAAGTAATTATACTATAGCTACAAACAAACAGGTATAAACATTGATATTTAACATTACTAATTAAGACACTCTTTTGGCACAGTGGTAGTGTCCCTACCCCCTCGACCAGGAGGCCCAGGTTCTAGTCCTACCTGAGGTGTGTAATACCATCGGTGAACAGGTTGATTAGAAAAGTATGTTGAATTAAAATAAAACAACTGTAATCCCCTTACATACTTCTCCTTACATAGTCACAGACAAACAAATAGTGAAAGTAGATTATTCACAGAGGTAGAAAAAAGTCTTAATAGTTAGTTTACTGATCTTCACTTCCTGATTTTGATGTTGAGATGATCCTACTTTAGCTGACCAGGTTCTTGGCATTCAGCTGTCTCTTTCTGGAAGATTCCACTGGTTTGAAAGTGCAAGTACGGAGCGACTGATCCAGTAGGAAAATGTCTCTAATTTCATCAATTCAAAAGTCACAGCTCACAACAGCTGCTGTGGTAGCTAGTTTTCTTCAGTTTAAACTGATTTTTTTACTGCACAGAACAGACAGCTGGGGAGAACAGCAGAATACCTGTGTTAGTAAGAACTGCCGATACTGGAGTCAGAGATAACACAGTGTGGAGCTGGAGGAACACAGCAGGCCAGGCAGCATTGGAGGAGCAGGAAAGCTGACGTTTTGGTTCGGGACCCTTCTTCAAAAAAAAAGCCCACATCAGCTTTCCTGCTCCTCTAATGCTGCCTGGCCTGCTGTGTTCCTCCAGCTCCAAACTGTGTTATATCAGAATACCTATGTTCTTCTGTCTCACTGTCTGCGACTCCATAACCTGTTTCTAGTTCCTACCCGCTCAGTTAGCTGAGAATCAATCAGGTTCACTTGTAAATAACTCCCACAGCTCCTGATTGTCTGAAAATTGCAGAAACTCCTACCCACAAAAACAGAGTTTACAATCAGTTTGAATTTCATGCTGTGAAATGATGCAGCCATCTAATAAATCCCTGCTTCTAAAACAGTTCTTTTGCTTTGTGGTCTACACTTTTTATAGGCGATAAAATAAAAGGACATGATTCTCACAAGGGTTATGTGTTTGGAAACTGTCTTCCCCAGAGAGCTGTAGAGACTGGATCACTGAATTTATTCAAGGCAGAGTTAGGTTTTTTGACCAATCAGGAAGTCAAGGGAGAGGCTGACAGGAAAGTGGGGTTGAGGCAGCAAATTGGTCAGCAATCTTTTTGACGGGCAGAGACGGTTCAAAGGACAGAATGGCCTACTCCTGCTCCCGAGTCCTGTGTTTTGGGAGATTCAGAATGAATAGTCATAAATGTAAGTTCATCATCGCTATATCCAGTAGGGAATTCAGGAGAAAGATCTTTACCCACACAGTGGTTAGAATGTGGAACACCAAAGCACAGGAACAGGTCAGCTGAACTGTAAAGATGCATTTACGGGGAAGCTAGACAAGCGCATAAGAGAGAAAGGAATAGATTGATGAGACAGGGTAAATGGAGGCTAGTGTAGTACATGTATACTGACATCGAGCAGGTGAGCTGAATGATCGGTTTCTGTCTAATTTCTCATCAACCTGTTCAAAAATGTTGTTACACACTTCTGAAGCAGGTAGGACTTGAACCCAGGTACCCTGGCTCAGAGATAAGGACACTATCACTGTGCCAGAAGAATCCTGTGAATTCTGCATAATTCTATGCCAATGAAGATGCACAAACAGAAGCAATATTTTCAGCAGTTAATAAAACTGATTGCAGCAAAACAGTAATTGCTCTTTGGATTGCTCACAGTTTAGATGAACTAAATAACCTCTGTATTCTGAATGTATCTACATCAAGTTAGAAAGGAGCCACGTCAAATCTGGAATGAGTATCGCACTCATTTACCAATAGCTTAATGTTCTCTCATGAAATTACACAGTCTGCTGTTTCAACATATTGAATGGATTAATAATTGTGTTGGGGCAGCAAAACAACAACATGCAACCAGCGTCTTCCTTTCCCTGACCATCTCTAATCCGTTACAATTGTTTCATTAACAACTCTCCCACCAACACGCAGTACACACAACTACCACTCTCTGAAAAATGCACTGTAGCAACTCTTTCAAAAACATCTACCAAACCCATGACTGCTGAAGTCTAAAAAGACAAGGGCAGCAGATACATGGGAACACCACCATCTGAAGTTCCCCTCCAAACCACACGCCATCCTGACTTTGGGTCACCCGTCCCAATAGCTCTTCATATGGCTCAATGTCAACCTGTGTCTGACAATGCACTTGCAGATCATTTTACTGTAGTGAAACAGCTATAGGAATTAATGCTGTTGTTGACTGCAAGGCAAATTGAAAGAGGCCAATTTTAGCTCATTTTTCCAGATAAAACTATATTGCCCCTTCTCAACCAAAAAAAAATCACTATATTCAAGATCTATTAACAATTCCATGCATACAGCCTCTTAGGGTTCTACTGCAAGCTACAACAAATGTGATATGAAACCCAATTTGAATCTCCCACCCTCTTCAGGATGGTGATTGTTTTGGGCAAGATAGGATGGGATGGCAAAGGTGGGAATTACTGGAGGGAAATTGGGCCTGTAGTCTCTGGAGTTCAGGAGAATGATGGGGCTTGATGTTTCCTGATATCTAGACCTCCCACAGCAAGGGGTCAGTGTGTCTGGTCAGCCCTTTGGACAATTGAGCAAGACTGTCTTTGCTTAGAGCCAAGTGAATATTTGAAATTATTTACCATGGAGAAATGCTCCTCAAAGTCATTCAAGGCCTCAAAGATGTTGTGACTCTTCATTGTGCAAGTAACATTCATGCCATACAAATACCAGACCATGACCATCTCAAATAAGAGATAATCTAACCACTGCCCCTTGACATTCGATGGTGTAACAATCACAGGTTCCCCCTCGATCAACATCCTGGGGGTTATCATTGATCAAAAACTCAAGTGGATTCACCACATAAGCACAGTGGCTACAACAGCAGGTCTGAAGCTAGGAATTCTGGAGCAAGTAACTCATCACCTGACTCCCCAAAATCTGTCCACCAATTGCAAGGCATAGGTCAGGAGTGTGACGAAATACTCCCCACTTGCCTGGATGGGTGCAGCTCCAACAATATTCAAGAAACTTGTCACCATTCAGGAAAGGCACCAACTTGATTGGTACCACATCCACAAGCATTCACTCCCTCCTCTACAGATTCTCAGTAGCAGCAGTGTGCACTATTTAAAAGATGCGCTCCAGAAATTCACCAAAGATCCTCATACAGCACCTTCCAAACCCATGACCGAATCCATCTAGAAGGGCAAGGGCAGCACATACACAGGAACACCACCACCTGCAAGTTCTCCTCCAAGCCACTCAGCATCCTGACTTGGAAATACATCACCGTTCCTTCACTGCCGCTGGGTCAAAATCCTGGAATATCCTCTCTAAGGGCATTGTGGCTCTACCTACAACACATGGACTGTAGTGGTTTTAGAAAGCAGCTCACCACCACTTTCTCAAGGCATCTAGGGACAGACAATAAATTTTGGCCCAGCCAGCAATGCCCATGCCTCACAAGTGAATAAAGAAAAAATACTGAGTAAGTGGAGACCTGTCAGAGCATAAGGAGATGAGGAGAGGGGAGTGCTGGGGAGGGGACAGCCCAAGAAAGTTAAAGTGGGAGTCCTGTTGTTTTTTTTTCGTATTCATTCACAGGATGAGGGGGTCACTGGCTAGACCAGCATTTATTGCCCATCCCTGATTGACATTGAGCCATATTGCTGTCAGTCTAGAGTCACATGTAGGCCAGACCAGGTAAAGATGGCAGCTTCTCTCCTTAAAAGACATTAGTGAACCAGATGGGTTTTTTCCAAAAATCGGTAATGGATTCATGGTCATGGTTAGACTCATTAATTCCAGATTTTTAATGAATTTAAATTCTACCATCTGCCATGGTGGGATTCGAACCTGGGTCCCCAGAACATTATCTGAGTCTCTAGATTAACACGTTCCCGATGTAGCTCAGTCGGAGCTGTGTGGCAGCCAATACTCCTTCAGAGCTTGTGACCACATTTGGGGTCCTGACCCCTGCTTTGGGAAGCCCTGCCCTAGACAGCCCCTGGGATCCTTATCACTGAATATATTCAAGATGGAGGTCAACACATTGCTGGACATCAAAAGAAACCAGACATAAAGTGGGACCCTGGAGTTGAGGTGTAATCAGCCACACTGCTATCGAATGACTCAACAGGATTTGGCCATCTCCTGATTCTGACGTTCTTAACATTGGGGTGAACCCGTTGTTTGATCAGAGACCCCTGATACAGTATAGATATATGACCATTGATAAATTAAAGCACATCGCCATGGTAGCCAATATTCCAACACCATTTCTGTATTACACATACACAAGGGTCATCTACTCACGTATGATGAGTCCCATAGGCGATCTCCAACTTAGCCTGGAAACATTAAAAATGGATCCATTGCACATTTATCAAATTATTGACAAACAAGGCACAATACAACCACCTGAGCACCATTATCCAAAAAAATATACAGGTTAATATTAAGAATAACAGGCCCCCTAACTTTGCAGAGCTTTAGCAGTGCTGAGCTTGGGATTATTCGACCAGCAGGATCTCCTAGCATTTACTGCCCAACAACATCACTGATACAGGTTACACCAACGAGCATGAGTTAAGAGACGAGTCGGCCATTCGGCCCATTGATCCTGCTCAAACAGTTGTTAAGATTGGCTGATGGCATCCTCAACCCACTTTCCTCCCTTGTATTGCTCGCACTCTGATTTTCTTGTTAGTTGAACCTCCGTTTGAAATTCAATGACCCCACCTCCACTGCTTTTGTGGGAAGAGAATTTCACAAACTCACGACCCTCTGAAGGAAAATAAATTCTCCTCGTCTCTATCCATTTTCAGCAAAGGCTGTAAAAGTAGCTCCTTGTCAGGGGCCACAATTTAAAAATGAGGGCAGCACGGTGGCTCACTGCTGCTTCACGGCACCAGGGACCCAGGTTCGATTCCAGCCTCGGGCTACTGTAAGAGTGGAGTGTGTACATTCTCCCCGTGTCTGCCTGGGTTTCCTCCGGGTGCTCCAGTTTCCTCCCACAGTCCAAAGCTGTGCAGGTTAGGCGGATTGGCCATGGGAAATGCTTGGTTGTGGGGATAGGGTGGGTCTGGATGGGATGCTCTTTGGAGGGTTGGTGTGTACTCAATGGGCCAAATGGCCTGCTTCCACGCTGTAGGGATTCTATGATTCTAGGACACTTCAGTCTGAGAAGAGGAAAAATCATTTACTCAGAGGCTTGTGAACCTTTGGAATTCTCTACCGCAGAGGGTTACGGAGGCTCAGTCTTGCAATACGTATCAGGTAGAGATTGATCGATTTCTAATTACCTGTGGCTTAACGAGCTGTGGGGTGTGAGGTAAATAAAAGACATTAAAGTATTTGATCAACCATGATCATTTTGAATTGCAGGGCAAGCACAATGGACTGAATGGCCTACTTTTGTTCCTTGGTTCCCTTCAGTAACTTTATTTATACAGCAGCTTTAACAGAAGTGAAATATCCTAAAGTAAGCAGTAGATTTTATGGAATGTCTTGAAGGCAGATAATGAGTCAAAGAGGTTCAGGGAAGGAATTCCAGAGTTTTGGGAAGAACAGCTGAAGGTAGAATGGGTAACGTTTACGATTAGGAACGTAAAAGTGGTCAAAACTAAAGAAGTTCAAATATTTTAGACAATAAGACCATAAGAAATAGGAACAGGAGTCAACCATTTGGCTCTCTAGCCTGCTCTGCCACTCAATGGGTTCATGGCTGATCCGACATTCCTTAAGTCCTCTTTCCTGCCCTATCCCTATCTTAAAATTCTTCTTGAAAAATCTATACAGTCAACATTTAATGTGCTTGGAGAATTGGATCTGCAGGAAATATCGAGAAAATAAAACTATCCAATTAGTCCCAAAGAGCTAGTACAAGCCAAAAGGGCTAAATGGTCTCCTCCTGTGATTTTTTTTTTACCTTGATCCATCAGTTTGGCTGCCCTTATACTACAGCTCCCCCCACATCCTGTTATTCTTGCTGTAATACAGTGACTAGCACCATGCATCTGCTCTGGAACCCTTCACAGACTCATTGTCAGCTCTCAGGTCCATCCTTCCCTCTACACCTCCCACAATATGATGGAATTTCCTTTTTAATCGTGTAAAAGCACAACATCAAACATGTATATTGCATCTTTACTGGAGTAAAACATCTCAAGTGCTCCACAGCACTTCTATGAGGATAGAGCTGGCCAATAAATGCTGGCCTACCAACGATGTCCACATCCCGTGAACGAATAATAAAAGTAAAATTCAATTAGTGAGGGCTCATTTGGATAGATTTTTTGGTGGAGAATCCTAGGGCGAGGGAGTGTGAAGCTAGAGGGCATAGGTTTAAAGTGGGAGGGGAAAGATTTAGAGAGGACCTGAGGGTAACTTTTTCACACAGAGGGTGGGGCGTGTGTGGATTAAGCTGCCAGAGGAAGTGGTGGAGGCTGGTACAATTACAACATTTAAAAGACATCTAGAGGGGGTACATGAATAGGAAGGGTTCAGAGGGATATGGGCCATATGTTGGCAAATTGGACCAGATCAGATTGGGATGTCTGGTCAGCATGGACGAGTTGTATCAAAGGGTCTGTTCCTGTGTTATATGACTGTATGGCTCTTTAAGGGAGTCATAGGTCATGAGGGGTCAGATACCAAAGCGCAGCTGAAGCCAGAATCGGATTGGCCACAAATGGTGGAACATGTTGGAAGGACCAAGTAGCCCACTCCTGGTCTTAATTCCAAAGTTCCTGGTCGAATCAATTTTGGTGATTTAGGGTAAACAGGAGTCGGTGTGAGTCAGGACATAGCAGAATTCTGGAAGATTTCCAGTTTAATGGGGATGGAAGGTGACAGACCAACAAAGAAACACTGAAATTCCCTGCAAACACTATTCTGTTCGTTGCAATGACTTAAAACTTTCAACTACACAAAGAATCCACAGGAAAAAATGTTGTTTACAGGTAAATCTCTGTCATTGCAGAAATAAATGACATTGCTGTAAACTGACACTCACAGACAGATAACAGTGCCCTCCAGTGGAAGTACATGGACATTCAGAAAAGAAGATGGACCTTGACACAGCTGATGGATAGGAGTATTGTGAGAGGTTTGACTGGAATGCGGTGGTGTGTTGTACTTAGACTTCCAGAAAGTCTTTGACACATTACTGCAAAGCAGACTATTGGAGAATTTACTGAATGCAGGCCATGCATAATTTCAGAAGGCCTTTTATAAAGTTCCCTGCTAGAAATTAACAGAAATGACCCCGGATTTGGCACCAACTTTGACACTCTCTCCATCACCACTATCTACAAGGTACACTGCAGAAATTCACCAAAGATCTTTATTCCAAACCCATGACCACTTCTATCTAGAGCAACAAGGCCAGCAGATATATGGGAACACCATGCCCTGCAAGTTCTCCTCCAAGCCACTCACCATCCTGACTTGGAAATACTGCCTTTCCTTCACTGTCACTGGATCAAAATCCTGGAATTCCCTACCTAAGTGCATTGTGGGTCTACCTACAGCACATGGACTGCAGTGATGGAAGAAGGCAGCTCACCACCACCTTCTCGTGTGCAGTCCAGGATGGGAAACCAACAGCGTTACCCCACTTTCCAAGAATGAATTTAAAAAACTGTCAACAATTGCTTGGGACATAGGACAGAAAGGTGAGTGAAAGAAAGTACATAGCATTTAGTGGAAGGTGACATTTCCTTAGGCCTGGTGGAGTTGGTATGTTCTATGCATTTCTGATGTGGGTATCACTGGCTAGGCCAGCATTTCTTGCCCATCCCTAATTACCCTATTGCTGTGGGTCTGCAGTCACATGTAGATGAGACCAGGTAAGAATGGTAGTTTCCTTTCCTAAAGGACGTTAGTGAACAAGGTGGGTTTTTCTGAAACTAGCCAACTGTATTAATGGTCATCATTTGACTCTTAATTCCAGAATTTTATTGAATTCAAACTCCACCGTCAGCTGTGACAGGATTCGAACGCAGGTCCCCAAAACATTACCTAGGTCTCTAGATTAATATCTAGTGATAATACCACTAGGCCTGACTCAGATGAAGATTTGGCAAGTTAAAGCCATAAATGTAATGGAAGGACACCATTCAGCCCATTGAGTCTGCTGTTCCATTCAATGAGATTGTAGCTGAGTTGTATATCTAAATTTGCAGATAACAGTGAGGAGGCATAGGGAGTTGTGGAGATGGGAGGAGGAAAAACAGAGAGAATGGAGACCAAAGACATCACACAAAACTGGAGCAAACATTGGACAAAGGAAGGTCCTGCGGAAGATAATGGGCGGCACAGTGGTTCAGTGGCTCACACTGTTGCCTCACAGCACCAGGGACCTGGGTTCAATTCCACCCTTGGGCGACTTGTCTGTGTGGAGTTTGTACATTCTCCCCACCTCAGCAAGTGTTTCCTCTGGGTGCTCTGGTTTCCTGCCACAGTGCAAAGATGTGCAGGTTAGGTAGACTGGCCATGCTAAATTGTCCAGGGATGTGTAGGTTGGGTGGATTAGCCATGGGAAATGCAGGGCTACAGGGAGAGGGTAGGGGGTGGATCTGGGTGCGGTGCTCCTCAGAGAGTCAGTGTGGACTTGTTGGCGCGAATGGCCTGTTTTCCCACTGTAGGGATTCTATTCTCATTCTTCATAAATGAGAACACCGTGTTGATATTAAGACACTAGAAAATGGGGAACAATGGGATTTAACTCTGTGTAGAGAAATCACTAAACATTAGTGCATAGGCACAAACAGTAATCAATAAAATTAATGGAGTACTGCTGCTTATCTGAACAGATCAAAGCACAAAAGTGAAAGTGATTTTTCAGGTTCTACAGAACCTGGCTCAGCTTCCATTTGGAGCTCTCCATTCGGTGTTGGACTTGATGCTTTGCAAGGATACTGTAGGTCCACAAGAATTAAACAAGGACTTAAAACAGCAGGTTTCATTGCCTTGAAGTTAGAATGTTGAGGTGAGATCCTATCAAGATACTGACATTTATAAAGCAACAGGTTAGGGTGGGTACTGAGAAATGATTTCACTTGGCAAGGCAGTTCCCAGACAAGAGAATCAATTTAAAGTTAGATTTAAGTCAGTGAGGACAGAAGGAGAGAGGAACTGATATTTGTTATATGAGGACATCAAGGGGTATGGAACAAAAGATGGAGTTCAGGTAAATATCAGCTGTAATCTCACAGAAAGGCAAATGGCACAGACCATTTAGACTACACAGATGATGAGACTTAAATTAGGACGAGGGTGAAAAAGTGGATTAGAAGATGGGCAGAAAGGAGAAGTGGGGATAGATTGAAACAATTTCCATAGGTTGAGGAGTCAAAGACGAGGGGCACAGTCTAAAAATTAGGGCCAGACTTTGCTGGAGTGAAACTAGGAAACACTCCTTCACTCAAACTGAGCAGAAATTTGGGATGAGATAGTAGGAACTGCAGATGCTGGAGAATCCGAGACAACAAGGTGCCGGGCTGGATGAACACAGCAGGCCAAGCAGCATCATAGGAGCAGAGAGACTGACGTTTCGGGCCTAGACCCTTCATCAGAAAAGGGGGAGGGGAAGGGGCTTTTGAAATAAATAGGGAGAGAGTGGGAGGCGGATAGAAGAGGGATAGAGGAGAGGATAGGTGGAGAGGAAACAAACAGGTCGAAGAGGCGGGGATGGAGCCAGGAAAGGTGAGTGTAGATAGGGAGTTAGGAAGGGGATAGGTCAGTCCAGGGAGGACGGACAGGTCAAGGGGGCGGGATGAGGTTGGTCGGTAGGAGATGGAGGAAATTTGGGATGCTATTTACTACAAGAATTGATGCTAGATTTATTTGTTACAATTAAGAGGTTTAATAGATTATTTTATGCCTTTAGCTTTAAATTTAGGGTCTATGGTGGTGGGAGGGGGGTTGCTGCCTGACAGTAAACCCAGGTGGTTTGATTGTTAGAGATAAAAGGAAAGGCCGGATTGTTTAACTGATAACAAAGCTCAAAGTATTTGCACTTGGAGGCAACGGCAGTTGTTTCTGAGTTTAGGCTCTGAGTCTCCCTCAGTTCCAGAAAGTTGCTGAAGGCACAGGGTTCTGGTCTCTGCAGATCACAATATAAATGTAGAAATGATCTCACAATGTGCGATCACTGTTGTATAAATTGTTGCAATTGTTTGAAAGTCGGCATTCTTGTTCCTGCCCTGATGGGTGTAAGACAAAATGCTTTTGCAAAGTGCCTCTCTCATCAGTCATTTTCAAGTCCTGTGCTGCCAAGTGATAAACTGGTGATTTTTCAGGGCATGAACTTCAGTGACATGTTTCCAGTTGTCACAGACTCTGTAACTGGCAGGCACGGGTTCAAGGGTAAAACAGGGTGGTGCTATACAAATATCAGCATATACAGACTATACTAAACTACTGAGTGCCTATAGAATATAGAATGAACTATGGGAAACAGAGAATCCCTTAATCTCACCTCATAGAGTATATACTAAACTATAAGGACTAGAAGACTCCCTAATCTCACCGCATATAAAACTCCAGAGTGTAATGAGATTCCTTTTGGCTTCTTCCTTACCTGGCAGAGACGGATGTTGGGATAAGGATGTGCATCCTCATGCAGTTCTGCTTTAGACTGACGCTGCTCTCCATGAACAATCAGTAAAGGCTTTGACCTGAAATTCAGCAATTGGAAAGTGAAGACCAACGAAAAGTGAGTTTTCCTACTTAATGACATTTTACTCTTCAGCGCTAGCTACAGTTCAGCAGGCAACAGGCTCTCACCTCTGGGTCAGCAGATCATGGGCTCAAATCCTAGTCCTGAGTCTAGAGTCCAAACCAACTAAGTTGAGCCTCTCAGGATGGATCAGAAGGAGTGCTGCACTGTGTAATGTCCAGTGTTTCTGATGAGATGCTTAACTGGGGGCCCTCACTCTCACCTCTGATGACTGTAAAAGATCTCACAGCACTACCTTAAAAGAAAGCAGGGAAAATCCCCCCGGCCGATAATTATCCCTCAAGTAGCATCACTGATTATCTGGTCATATGGACATAGAAATTAGGAGTGGGCCATTAGGACCTACAGCCTGGTCCACTTGCTACACTTCACTGGAGCAGTATGCTAGAAATCGAGTCCCCATACTCCCAGAGTCATCACAAAGTTAAAGCTTTTATTACACACATTTACCTGGCTTTTAAACTCAGGATGACCGAAAGAATGAACCAAGTTTTTGTATTTAACAAGAATTACTAATTATTACAAAAAAATAAATTTTTAGTTACAGACCAACAATTATGAACCAATGGCATCCAACTGTACTGGTTAGAAGTCTAACCCCCTTCCAAAAGTCCCCCTATAACACACGCAGACAGACACAAAAGAAAACTGGGTGTTACGGGTGGAGGGAAAGACTGGGAAGGCAGTTCAATAGTGCCTGTCCACAGGAGATTATTCTTTTGGCTTGTCAGGACTTGCTGCTCTTTGATTTTCCTTCTCCACTTGTTTGCAGGGGGTACATGGAAACTATTTCACACTTAAAATGTCTCTGACTTGTTGTTTAAAAGCCACAGCTTACAGCAACTGAAAGGGAAAATAAATGGGCTTTCAGGGTTGAGGTGTTTTTACTGCAGAGTTAAGGACAGCACCTTCCTTTCCGGAGGTCCAATGGCTTCTGACGAAATTTTCATGTCCACAAGCTGTTCAGCTACCTGAAAGCCAATCACACAGTTTTTCATAGCATCCCTACAATGTGGGAGAAGGCCATTCCGCCCACTGAGTCCACACCAACCCTCTGAAGAGCATCTCACCCCTTCCACCCTATCCTGTAAGCCTGCATTTTCTCATGGTCAATCCGACACATGGCCTAACCTGTACATCTCTGGACTGTGGCAGGAAACCCATGCAGACACGGGGAGAATGTGCAAACTGCACAAAAATAGAATCGAACCTGGCTCCCTGGTGCTGTGAGCCAGCAGTGCTAACCACTGTGCCAATGTGCTGCCCCATTGTTGACAGGTAGAAGGCCTTTGTCATTTGTTGTAGAGATAAGCATGAACCCGAACCCCAAGAATAATTTCATTGTTCTTCAAAATCCTGCCGCTAAATCTTTTAATCCATCTGAGGGCAAACAAGGCCTTGTTGTCACATCTCATTTCATAGACTGCATGCCTGACAGCGCAGCACTCTCTCAGTACGTATCAGAACTGCAACAATTTGTGACATGAAATAGTCAAAATGCTCACGCTGGAAAAAAAAAGACGTACCACACTGCAACAAATCTTGCAGTGCTGAGGTCTGTACAGCAGACAAGGTAACCGGGACATGTAAGGGTGGCAGGCAGGCTCCATGAAGCCTGGCTGAGTATTTGTGAACACTGTAGCAAAGGGCACAGTCACAGCCCTTGAAAAAAAGTGCAGACATTCTGTAATCATGTGGGTTTAGTTGCCTCAGTAGAAAAACAATGGGGGTTATTATGATGTTGTTACTGGTAGATCATATCCCAGACTAAAGTCTGGCCTGATAGATCATATTTTTGTTTTTGGCTTTTAACAAGGTAATCTTTCACTAAAACAGAAACAAAATGCTGCAGATTCAGTTTTAACAATAAAACAGAAGTCCATAACATGCAAGAAAAGAAAATCAATAAGCTAAATTGAATAACTGAAATGAATACATCAGCATGATTACACATAACACAAGTTTAAAGATTTTGAAACACACAGTAAACTACAATCCCATTAATCCTAACAGAAGTCCTTTACAGTACTCACACCAGAGATAATTCATTTCTCTGACGTAGAGGGTTTCTTGGAGAGAGTTCAGAAGTATCTTACAGGGCTGCTGCTGGGAATAGAGTGTATGCGTTATAGGGAGAGGCTGGACAGGTTGGGACTTTTATCACTGGAGCATAGGAGGTTGAGGGGTGACCTTACGAAGGTTTATAAAATCATGACGAGATAGATAAATTGATTAGCAAAGGCCTTTTCATGAGGTTAGGGGAGTTTAAAATCAGAGGGCATACTTTTAAGGTGAGAGGAGAAAGATTTAGAAGAGACCTGAGGGGAAATTTTTTCCATACAGAGTTGGTTCGTATGTGGAATGAACTGCCAGCAGAAGTGATCGATGCAGGTATACAGAACATAGAACAGTACAGGCCCTTCAGCCCACAATGTTGTGCCGAACTTTTACCCTAATCCTAAAGTCTATCTAACCTCCACCCCTACCTTATACTATCATCCAATTGCCTATCTAATAGTACAATTACAACATTCAAAAGACATTTGGAAAGGTACATGAACAGGACATGTTTAGAGGCATATGGGCCAAAAACAGGCAAGTAGAACTAGTTTAGTTTGGGAAACTTGGTCGGCGTGGACGAATTAGACCAAAGGTTCTGTTTCCATGTATGATTCTGACTTTATGACTTAACTCTGGCTTCAATCCCCAGGTTGGAGAATCTGATCACCTCTTCCTTGAGCTTCATATAACTGAGTGCAGACTTTCTCAACTTCAAATAACCCCTTCAGAGTTTTAACCAAACACTATTGGTTTGGAAATGAAAACTTAGATTAAACTCCTTACACTGAGAAAGTCTATGTCTTAACAGCTCTAAATTATCTCCCTTTTTTAGGAGCAATTGTTTTATACATTCAGCTTCAACCAAGACATGTGAAACCCAAAAGGTACTTTCAAATATTGTGTTTCCCTTCATGCAAAGAAAAAGAATCTACAATTTTTAAACTGAAAGCCTAACTCACAACTGTTTACTCTTAAAAGCTCTCCCAAACTAAACAAGTTCCTATAAACTTCCAAGAATTCTCTTAGCCTGATTTTTTAAAATATAAATCACCACGCCTACAGAAATACTTAGAATTAATTATTAAACTCTTTCAGACGCACAAACAGAAAAGCCACACGTCACTAGCTCAAATCCAAGCTCTGAACTAAATAACTTTAAAATATATATAAATCACACTGCTTATATCACAGGACTCACCTGAATTCTTCGGGGTATTGCTTAACCAACCAAGGAATGTCAATGCAGTAATTAAACTGAAATGTAAAAACATTAATTATTGAAATTAGTTTTCCAGACAGAAAAAGAGTCCTCCTGCAAATTAATAGCCCGGTGTAACACGCAAAACAAAATCCAAAAGAACTGGAGGCTGTAAATCAGAAACAAAAGCAGAATTTGCTGGAAAAGCTCAGTAGGTCTGGCAGTCTCTGTGAAGAGAAATCAGATTTACATTTCGGGTCTGGTGACCATTCTAAGTTTCTAAATTCTGAGGAAGGATTATCGGACTCAAAACATTAACTCTGATTTCTCTTCACAGTTGCTGCCAGACCTGCTGAGCTTTTCCAAAAATTCTGTTTTTGTTTCTAGTGTAAGATGTAAGTCCGGGATTGCGATACCTGCAACAAGATGAAAGATTTGTCTGTCATTTGTGCTAACAAAGATTCATGGTTTACTTAGAGGATTTAAAATAACATTCATTAATGGGATGTGGACATTGATAGCTGGACCAGCATTTATTGCCCATCCTCAATTGCCCTTGAGACTGTGGTGACTGCCTTCTTAAACTGTGTCAGTTCATGGGGTGTAGGGACATCCATGCTGTTAGGGAGCTCCAGGATTTTAATCCAATGACAGTTCAGGAACAATGATTTATTTCCAGGTCTAGATAGTGTGTATGGCTTAGAGGATGAACTGCAGGTGATGGTGATCCCATATGCCTGCTCCCCTTATCGTTCTAAGTGATTGAGGTTATGGATTTGAGAGGCTACCAATACAGTAGTAAACAAATAGGTCAAAGACTGATGTAGGGAGAAGAGCCATGGGGAGTAACCTGAAGGTCAACTGGATCTGTCTCTCAGAGAGTATTTTCTGAACTTAGACAAGATACTTAATAGGTTCTTGAATATCTAAGCAATACTTTAAGCCAAGTCATCACAACTAACCAACAGATTACCGGGAAAATCAAGTTTAAGGTAGTTACTGGACAGAAATTGTTTAAATATGAGATTTATTAACAACTGGACAGGTTTTTACAGAACCTTACAGTGTAGAAGGAGGTTATTCAGCTCATCATGTCTGTAGTGGCTCTCTGAAAGAATTATCCAATTAATCCTACTCTCCTGCCCTTTTCACACAGCCCTGCAAGTTTCACTTTTCAAGCATGCCTCCATATTGCCTTCTGAAAGTTATTATTGAATCTGCTTTCAAACAGGGTAATCCAGATCACATCAACATGTTTTATTGAAATAATGTTGCATGTCCCTCCCGTTCTTTTTGCTGATTGCCTCTGGTTAGCTAGGCTTCTGCCCATGGACCTATTTGTTCCGTCAATTATCATTTTCAGCACCTCTATTAAATCTTCCACAAACTTGGATCTGAAGAGAACAATCTCTTCTCTCAAAAGGTTGTGTGTAAACTCAGTCTGACCCCACTCCCACAATCCAATACCTGGCAGAATCTTCTCACCTGAGCTGATGCCTTAATCGTCCCAAAGAGTGGAGATAAAATATCTGAAAGAGATTTTTTTTTTTTAAATGAAAACTTTATTTCCTTTTAATCAGGTTCTAATAAAGAGGCAATTAACAAGAAAGAAAAAAATGACATAGAAAGAAGACACATTTGGAACACTCTGCCAGAAATGGGCCAAATAGCCTCCTTCTGTGCCATAATAACTGTAAACAAATGCATAAAATTCACATCTCTTGATTCACTGAAATATATGCATTCACAGAAATATAGATCCATTCCAAGTGGAGTCAGAAAAGTGCACAGTGGGGGAAGAGAAGCTGAACAAATACACTGTCTATCTTCACTGAAAACCTCCCAGAAATAATGGAGAATCAAGGGACTGGTGTGAAGGATGAACTACAAGTTGCTGTATTAAAAAAAAAGCTAGAGAAATAAATGGGACTCAAATGAGATAAATCCTTTGGACCTAGTGTTGAAACAAGTGGCTGTAGAGACAGCAGATACATTTGGTAGCTATCTTTTCAAATTGTGCAGACTTTGGAACAGTTCCTACAGATTAAAAGATGGCAAACGTAACCCCACTATTTAAGAAAGGAGGAAGACAGAAACCAGGGGAATAGCATACCGCTTAGTCTAACATCAGTTATATGGAAAAATGCTAGAATCCATTACAAAGGATAACAGGACACTTAGAAAATAATGGAAGGATTAGGCAGAGTCAACATGAATTTATGAAAGAGAAATCACATTTAGCAAACCTGTTGGGAGTTATTCTAAGATGTAATTAGTAGAATAGACAAGGGGGAAGCTGGTGGATGTGCTCTGCTTAGATTTTCACAAAGCTCTAGATACATTCTCACACAAGTGGTCAGTAAGCAAAGTTACAGTACATGGGATTGGGGGAATATACCGGCATGGATTTAGAGCTAGTTAATAGACATCAAACAAAAAGTAAAAATGAACTGGTCATTTTCAGGAAGGCTGTGATTAGTGGGTTATCGCAAAGTTTGGCTCCCAGCTATTCACAGTTGACAGTAATGATTTGGGGATTAAAATGTAATATTTCCAAGTTTGCAAATGATACATAACTAGATGGAAGTGTAAGCTGTTAGGAGAATGTGAAGAAATATCAAGGGGATTTCTGGAAAGGTTAAGCGAAAAGGAAGAATGGCAGATGGACTTGGCAATGTGAAGAAAAGTGCAGTTATCCACTCTGGTTGGAAAAAGCACAGAAGTACAGAATATTTCTTAAATTGAGAGGGGTTGGGGGATGTTGAATTTCAAAAGGACTTGAGTGCCCTTGCTCATCAATCACTGAAAGTTAACATGCAAGTGTAACAAGCATTTGGAAAAGCGAATGGTGTGTTGGCCTTTATTACATGAGAGTTTGAGTATTTTCTGAGATAATATCTCAAAGTAAGTGGCAGGGAATTTAGGTGTAGGATAAGGAGGATTTTTTTCACTCAGCGAATGGTGAATTCTTTGTGCAGAGTGTTTGGGAGGCTCAGTTATTGATTATGTTCAAGGCAGAGATAATACGTTTCTACATACTGAATACATCAAGGGCTATAGGGAAGCTGCAGGAGAATGGTGTTGAAGTAGAAGATCATCCATGATCCCACTGAACAGGGAAGCAGGCTCGAAATCTGAATGGCTGATGTCTGACGCCTCCTACTCCTATTTCTGAGAATTTTTTAAACCACCAATGCCTTTGGTTTCTGAAACCTAGCATGAACACCTCAATGGCACCTGGTGTATAGTTCTGAGTCAAGCAGGGAAACATGCGTCAAACTAACTTGCTGAGGTTTTTGAAGAGATAACAGAATGCGTTGACGACGTTGTGTGCGTGGACTTACAAAAAGGCCTTAGATACAGTATCACAAAATAGACTTTTGAGGAAAGGTATAGCTCATGGAATAAAAGGGATAGTGGCAACATAGATACAAACTGGCTGGAGGATAGGAGATTGACAGTAATGGTTAATTGGTATCTTTTGGGCTGGAGGAAGGTTTGTCATGGAGTTCCCCAGGGGTCAGTTTTAGGACCTTGCTTTACCTGATATAAATAAATGATCAAGATCTCAATGTGCAGAAGTCAATTTCAAAGTTTGAGGACAATACAGACCTTAGGAATATTACTAACTGTGAAGACAGTGTAGAATTTCAAAGGACATATATGAATTGGTGGAATGGGCAGTTCAGTGGTTAGTGAGGTTGAATACACAAAATTATGAGATGATATTTTGTTAGTAAAAACATGAAAGACAGTATAAAATGTAATGTACGACTCTAAGTGATGTGCTGATGTAGAGAGAAATCTGAGTTATATGTACAGAGGCAGGGCTGTTAATAAATCATACAGTATTCTATGCTTCATGAGTAGTTTGCAGTATACGAGATCAGGGGTTATATTAAACCTAAACGGGACTCCAGTTATATCTCAGATACAGTATTATGAAAAGTCCTGGATGCCACACTTTAGAATAGGTATGAATATATTAGGCAGAGTACAGAAAAGGTTTACAAGAATGGTACTAGGAATGAGACACTTCAACTATGAGAGTAGATTGGAGAGATGGAGACTGCTTTCCTTGAAGAGGTGAAGACTGAGGGGAGACTTGATGGAGGTCTTCAAAATGATGAGGGGTCTGGACACAGTAGCTATGGAGAAACTGATCATGCTTGTAAAAGATTTAAGAACCAGAGGGCACAAATTTAAGATGTTTTGTAAAAGAAGCAAATGTGAGGTGAGAACAATCTCTTTCATTCAGTGACTAGTGAGGGTTTGGAATGCATTGCCTGGAAATGTAGTGGAGGCAGGTTCAATTGAGGCCTTCAAGAGGGGAATTGGATGATCATTCAAACAGAAAAAACGTGAAGGGTGTGGGGAAAAGGCAGAAGATCGGTACTAAGCCCAAATATTCAGAGAACAAGTATAGGCTCAATGGATCAAATGGCTTTCTTCCACACAATAACAAATCTGTTACTCTGAAGAATTGGAACAAAATGCACCCTCTGCAGTCAACTATCCTTGTCCTCATCATTATCACTAACTTAAACATAAAATAACATTTTGTGCAATTCATCATTGGTTGTTTTTCCCTAGCTCTAGAATTCCCTCTTGAAACTTTTATCACACTCCTTTTATCACACTCTTCTGCTTCAAGATGTCCCTCAAAAGTCTTTGCCCAAGCTGACTTAATAGACCCTTAGACAGCTCAGTGTTAATTATTCTTTGAAGATGTTCCTGTGAGGCTCTTTGTAACAACAGTTAATATGTTAAAGAAGCCATATAACTGCAAGGTCTTGTTGTTGAAGTGTGAGGCATTATGATACTGGTTGGCTGGGCGGCTGGTTTGCAATGTGGAGTAATACCGACAGTGCAAATTCATTTCCTACACCATCTGAGGTCACCATGAAGGACTCTCCTTCTCAACCTTTCCCCTCACCCGAGGTGTGGTGACCCTCACGTTAATCCATCACCCACTCCTCTCTCTCTCTCTCTCTCTCTCTTTCTCATTCTCTGACAGAGCAGCCCCATTTTCCTTTGTTTAATCTTGTCTACACAAGGTGAGGACTGCACCAGATTACCCTCTGCAGAAAATTTGAGTTTATGGCAATTAAATTATTTATCTACACCTCTCTGCCTCACTTTCCTCCTTTAAAACATCTCTTCAACCTACCTCTTTGACCTGATCAAAAATTTCCTCATGTGTTGCACTTTGATTTATATTAGTTCTATGAAGCACCTTGGTATGTTTTAACTAAAAACAACATAAATAGTTGCTCCTAAACAAGCACAATATTTACTTCACCAGAGAGCTGGATCAGCTTTAGCTCTGGAGCTGAAGTACAAACAAGAGAAAGAGGTTTGATCTCAAGAATCGCTTGGACCTTGAATCTTACTGAACAGAGATATGGGTTGCTGAAACTTTGCATCCTGATCTCATCAGGACACGTCAAATTTCAAATAATTACTGCAATTTACCCTACATGAGAAAACACGCACTTATTGGCTAGCAAGTTAACTCTGATTGGCTGGGACATTGCCATGGTGATCTAAACACAAATTCCAGGCTGATGTTGCCAATGCAATGCCAAGGGAGTGCCGCACTGTTGGATTTTTGAAAATTTTGAATGTGACAAAGAAACAAATTCTGTACCGAGGTAACCACCACAGATCATTGGCTGTCTCTCCATTCGAGGATGACGTCTACACAGAATGGTGAGATCCGATCATGGATCTTCATGTGACTGAATAGGCTGAAAACATTGGGTCTATGGGGTAGGATTCCCATGGGGCAGTGGGATATAGAGTGCAGGATTTTCATCCTTAGTTTTCTCTTTTCTGCTGTCATTCTGCCTCGTCATTAAAACATTGTCACTCTCCGCATGAGGCAGCTTGACTGAGAAATTGTCCTCATTCCGAACAACTGATGGCAAACTCCTCCTAGTCATTAATGTCAATGCTGCATCATTTCAAGGTCACCTTCATAGCATCTTTTGACCGTAAGACATAAGAAGAGAAACAGGCCATTCAGCCCCTCAAGTCTGCTTTTCCATTCAATGAGATCCTCAACTCTACTTTCCTGCATTTCCCCCACAACTCTTGATTCTCTTACTGATTAAAAATCACCTTGAATATCCTGAACGACCAAGCCTCAACAGCCCTCTGTGGTAAAGAGTTCCACAAATTCACTACCTTCAGAGAAGAAATTCCCCCTCATCTCTGTCATAAATGAGACTTGACTTTCCCAGAGGGGAAACAACCTCACTATATCTACCCTGTCAAGTCCCGTGAATCTTGCACATTTCGATAGATTCACCCCTCGTTCTTCTTAACTCCAAAGAGTACAGACCCAACTTACTCAAATTCTCTTTGGAAGACATGTTCGTCCATACCTGATATCAGCCTAGTGAACCTCCTGTGGATTGTCTCCAATGCAGATGCATCTTTTCTTAGAACATAAGAGCTAGGAGCAGGAGTAGGCCGTCCAGCCCTTTGAGCCTGCTCCGCCATTCAATAAGATCATGGCTGATCTTATCGTGGACTCAGATTCACTTACCCACGTTCTCACTGTATCCCTTAATTCCTTTACTGTTCAAAAAAATCTACCTTATCTTTAAAAACGTTTACTGAAGTAGCGTCAACTACTCCACTGGGCAAGGAATTCCATACATTAACAACCCTCTGGGTGAAGAAGTTCCTTCTCAATTCAGTCCTAAATCTGCTCCCTCTAATCTTGAGGCTATGCCCTCTTGTCCTAGTTTCACCTGCCAGTGGAAACAGGCTCTCTACTTCTATCTTATCTATTCCCTTCATAATTTTATATGTTTCTATAAGATCCCCCCCTCAATCTTCTGAATTCCAATGAATATAATCCCAATCTACTCAGTCTCTCCTCATAAGCCAACCCCCTCAACTCCGGAATCAACCTAGTGAACCTCCTTTGCAATCCCTCCAGTGCCAGTACATCCTTTCTCAAGTAAGGAGACCAAAACTGCACACAGTACTCCAGGTGTGGCCTCACCAGCACCTTGTACAGCTGCAACATAACCTCTCTGCTTTTAATCTCAATCCCTTTAGCAATGAAGGACAAAATTCCATTTGCCTTTCTAATTACTTGTTGTACCTGCAAACCTACCTTCTGTGATTCATGCACAAGGACACCCAGGTCCCTCTGCATAGCAGCATGCTGCAACTTTTTACCATTCAAGTAATAATCCTTTTCACTATTACTCCTACCAAAATATATGACTTCACATTTATTTACATTGTATTCCATCTGCCAGACCTTTGCCCGCTCACTCAATGTATCTATGTTCCTCTGCAAAGTTTCACAGTCCTCTGCACACTTTGCTCTGCCACTCATCTTAGTGTCACCTGCACCCTACACGTGGTCCCCAACTCCAAATCATCTATATAAATTGTAAATAATTGCAGTCCCAACACCGATCCCTGAGGCACACCACTAGTCACTGACTGCCAGCTAGAATAGCACTCATTTATCTCCACTCTTTGCTTCCTGTTAGTCAAGCAATCCTCTATCCATGCTAATACTTTATCCATGCATCCTTACCTTATGCCGTAGCCTCTTGTGCGGCACCTTGTCGAAGGCCTTTTGGAAATCTTGGTACACCACATCCACTGGGTCCCCATTGTCCACCTTGCTCGTAATCTCTTCATAGGATTCCAAAAGATTTGTCAAGCATGACCTGCCCTTCATGAACCCATGCTACGTCTGCCCAATGGGACAATTTCCATCAAGATGCCTTGCTATTTCTTCCTTGATAATAGACTCAAGCATCTTCCCCACTACAGAGGTTAAGCTAACCGGTCTATAATCCCCCATCTTTTGTCTACTTCCCTTTTTAAACAGTGGCGTCACATTTGCTGTTTTCCAATCTGCTGGGACTGCCCCAGAGTCCAGCGAAAATTACCGCCAGTGCACCTGCTATTTCTCCCGCCATCTCTTTTAGTACTCTGGGATGCATTCCATCAGGGCCAGGAGACTTATCAATCTTTAGCTTCATTAGTTTGCCCAACACTACCTCTTCCGTAATAATGATTGTTTCCAGGTCCTCACCTACCTTCGTCTCTTTGTCAATTACTGGCATGTTATTAGTGTCCTCCACTGTGAAGATCGATACAAAA